ATGCCCGTGATGCCGCCCCCCACCAAGATGCCGCCCCGGCCAACCGCCCGTATCTAAAACCGCTACTGGCTGTTACTTGTAACGCCGTTATTCCCATCACCGCTAATCATATTATATTAACTACAGTGCAACATACAAACATTGTGTCCTCAAAGCTTTATCACTGAAAGAGTCTGTAAAACTATATTACGTACAGATTTACAAACAAAGTCTGAAAGTATAGCTGCAGAGAAAATTTGAGGGTTAAAACTTCAGAAACCTCTTAAAGTTAGGTTCAATCAGCCAGAATTAAAGCTGTGGATTTCAGGCTTGAGGAAAGTCTGTTTAAAAAAGCCAGACCAAAAATCTGCAAACTCTTTGATGAATATGGAATTTGGCATCATTACAATCAAAATTCAAAAGTAGTTGTTGCATTGCTTTTTCATGCAATGCAAATTCTAAAAATCCAATCTGTCTGTAAAAGGTCTGCACTTTTATTAACCTGAGCTACGTTTTACAAAGCACTTTATAATATGTTCTCATTCACCTACCTGTCATCCAGAGTAACCGGTGGTTCAGTGTCTTATCAAAGGATACTGTTAAACTGCTGAGCATCAAAAACCTTTGATGAATGGATAACCTGGTCTCACCCCTGAGCCTTTATTATACTTCTTTTAAATTTTTTTGACTGTTGTACTACCAGTATCAGTCCAGCTGGGATGATTTTGATCATTTTGCGGTTAAAGCAGTGATGCTGTGTAGACCCAGTTTAGTTCTAACTTTTTCTGTGTTTATGTATGGACCATGTGACCCACCTCCAACCTTATATATTGACTTAAGACCAAGCAAGACCAAGTTCTTGGAGGTATTTTCTATTTTCTAAATCTGTCATAGAGACTGGGGACAAAACCATGAGACAGAAATTAGGATCTTGGACACTGTATGTGGACTTCTGAACTATTCCTGAGGTTCATATTATTATTTGACCAATGATAGAAGTGCAATAATCACTAACAGTTTCTTTGATTAATTTATTTTTTGTGACTACAACCCTGCTTTTAACATAATTAAATCAAGTTACCATGGCATAGGTCTTCGCCTTGCGTCACTGCTTTCAGCCCTGTATTTGGTGAAGCACCTGTACACGCTTACAGTGCTCATATTTCTAAGGTAGTGTTGCACATTGTTTGCAATAATTCATCCAGTAAGTTGCAAAATTGTGATACCACTTCATGGCAATATGAGATGCAGCATAAGACAACTAATAATAATAAACCATCACAACCCCATTGGGTGCGTTAACCCTAATTTTTCACTCATCTATTTTTCTAATCGCTTATCGCAGTGTCATTTGTGCCGGTAGGCTGGAGCCTATCTGAGCTGATGCTGGGTAAGAGGTGGGGTTCACCTTTGGCAGGTCATCTGCCTAGCATGCAGCTAACAGAGAGAGACAGAGAATCATTCATGTTTTCGACCAAGAATCACCAATTAAGTGCTAACCAGTGCACCATTGCCACCAAACCTTTATCATGCCATAATAATATCGTTGTGAGTGAAATGAATAGACTACTTTTATCTTACCTTTAATCCTTCCCCTAATTTTTATGTGTTGAACATAGCAAACACTGAATGTTATAAGCTATTGGTGAATATGCACATATTGTTTCAGCATTGTACAACATAAACGCAATAGAGGAAAACTCGTGGGAGCTGGAACAGCTTTCATCATGAAGCATGTTCTTGGGACTGACAGAGCAAAGGGATTTTGGAAGTTATGCTGAACTTTTTAACCTCACACACAGAAGCTACCAAATTTTCTCATTTAAAAATCTCTCTGAAGTAAAGAAAAATTTGCCCCTCTTTGTGATCACCGCCCAAAGATGTGCACGTCTCTTCCAAAATAATTAGGTGTACAGCTAATAATGTTCTCCACCACGGGGCTTGAGAAATAATGCTTTTATCACAGATTTTAGAGGAGTTCGAATCAGCCCAAGCAGTTGCAGGAAGGATATGGGATGAGTTTAGGAACATAGTCTTCTTTTACAGACACGTATTATATTGGATTAAATGAAGCAAGCTAGGTTTTTAACTTGACAACTTGACAATAATATCTAGTAAGGGATTACATTTGCTTTAGATTTCTTCACAATTTTTGTAAAAAACATTTTGAGAAAACAACTGGAGCCTTGATTCTGTAGAGTATAGTTATATAGAAGGAAACATCTGGTTAGTGCAGAAAATCTCTACTGTAATTTATGGTTATCTATCCATAAACCGTGTATTATTGAGTCTTCAGGTCCAACTGATAACAATGTCTCTGAAATAAATGCTTGCTCTCTTTATATATTCTAAAAAGCGAAACTCCTTTACTGACATCTACCTTTACGATGAAGAATAAAATCAGTTGCAAAAAGGAGTGTATTTCAACATATATGCAGGAGATAATCAGTCATTTATGATGAATTATACATCACAAGTACATTTCCTATTTTTAAGCTTCAAAACCTCCAGGGTATTTTGTCATCTGTTCTTTTCAGATGCGATGAAATTTGACAAACAAGTGCAACTTTTCATGTAGAACAAAAATATTTCATTAGCTTTTCTACTATATTAAAAGCAGTCATTACTGAGGTTAACTTAGGTTAGCGTCACATTACTGAAAGTGTCAATCAGTGTAAAAGTGTAAAAACCTATTGTGTAACATGGTCTGGCCTTTGTAGGAGTATTTACTTAATTAGAAGTGTTTTGGTACGGACTGGTCTAGATGTAAATTAGAATTGCAGGATGGTTGTGAAGCACCCCGTGAGAGTATTCGTCTGTCAGGTGTCACTATGCTCTCTCAATCTGACAGAATCTTTCTCTTCTCTTTCTCCTTCTCTGAAACAGACCAGAAGACTTCATCTTGGTCTCTGTCTCGAAAGTTCAATGAAGGCAGACGCCTCCCTCCATCCAGGAACATGAAGGGCTTATCGGGCAGCCGCTCCCAACATCAGATTCCTCTACCCCACGGCTTGGACTATGATCCCCACGTCCATGACATCCACACTCACCATGGCGCTGACTCCCGCCACCCATCCTACCTGCTCAGCCCCACAGAGAGCTGCCCTATGGACTTCCACCACCGCTACTCACCACGCAGCTCCATCCACTCCGACTGCATGATGATGTCCCCTGTCATGATGCCCCCAGCTGCTGCATCTGACCACATCTCCAGTAGCACCTTCCCCAGAATGCACTACAGCTCTCAGTATTATGACTCAGCCACACGGGACGACTGCGCTGCCATCACAGCCTCCGCCACATCCCCAGCTGTTGCGGCTGCAGCAGCTGCAGCAGCTGCCTCTTCCCACCATGCTGGCACCAAGAGCAACCGCCTTCCTGCTAATCTCCTGGACCAGTTTGAGAAACAACTGCCACTGCACCGTGACGGCTTCCACACTCTACAATACCAGCGCACCTCCACCACCACCGAGCAACGCAGTGAGAGTCCCGGCCGCATTCGACACCTTGTTCATTCAGTCCAAAAGCTCTTCACCAAGTCCCACTCCCTGGAGGGATCGTCCAAGATGAATGGCACAAAAGGTGACATTGTAGGAGGGGGTTATCACCATCATGGCCACCACTCCACAAAACACGGTAGCAAGAGGAGCAAGAGCAAAGAACGTAAGCACCGCTCTGGTGGCTGGTGGAGCTCAGATGACAACCTGGATAGTGACAGCACCTATCGCACACCCAGTGTCATGTCACGGCACCATGGGGAACATGTCGGCCACTACCACCCAGATTCCATGCACAGCCACCACTTTGGAGACTTGTCACTCAAGACCTCAAAGAGTAACAATGACGTCAAGTGCTCAGCGTGTGAGAGTATGGCCATGGGACCCGAGGGCAAGTTCATGAAGAGGAGCTCCTGGTCGACTCTAACAGTCAGCCAGGCCAAAGAGGCCTACAGGAAGTCATCGCTTAATTTAGAGAAACCCATGATGTACACGGACCTCAAGTCATCGCGGACATGTCATTACCTGCAGGTTAGTAGTACCTTTTTTTGGAAATATATGTCCTTAAAGTACAGACAAATTTGATTAGTGGCGTATTGTACTGAGCTACTGAAATACATGTTTTTGTGTGCATCGGTGTATATGCTACGGCTGGTACACAAACACTGATTTCATTCCATACCATGCAAACAATTCTGACTGGCATTGATCAGCTGCTAGTTTATGTCCACGTATAAGTCATCCTTTGCTTTCAGAATTAATGAAATCACAGAAGTTGTCTAATTTAGTTTGAAGCAATAACAGGATGTTTCCTTCCAAGTTTTGTGTTCTTCTAAATGTTTGATACTCAACTCTTTGGAAAAGGCCCACAAAAAATGTCTGAATATAGACTGAAAGGCCATTAAATGTGGAGATATTTGAAACGCCAACTATCAGATAATACAACAAACAATAACTAAGATCAATATCCACTCATCTCCGACACTGCCCTTCTCGATAAAATGCATTGATCGATTAGGAATCTAGACAGCAGGGTATTTGGAGTCTGCCTTTCTTTCTGTCATCCTCCAGAGGGCAATTACAGTGTCCACAAGTGTGAGAAGTCAATATATTTAACCAGGATTCCCTTTTGTGTGCTCACCTCAGGGAGCTATTGTCTATTAAGATATAGAGCTCGCCTGACTGAATCAATGTCATGGTGGAAAGCACTGAGAAGAACCACTGAGCTGAACTCCAGTGTAGGAAACACAAAGGCTGTGGTGTCTGCAAAAACAGCATATAGTGTGGCTTGAGTTGCTGTAGGAGCTGGTTCACCAGATTGGAAAGAGACATTACTTTATTCACAGATTTTATGCCCCATGCTTGCCTGTAACACTGTCACGAGTCACGAGACTAAAGTAAAGCAGTTAAGCTACAGATAGTGACTTCTTCTAAAACGGTCAAAAGTCAAGTATTCAGTGTTTCAGCGATCTTTGAGTTTCTTTTAATTTTTAATACTAAGCACTTAGCTAATGCTCTCATCCACAGTGACTCACAGGCTACAGCATTAGAATATTAAGCTCAAAGTCCTGCTTTAAGTAGCTTTTAATGAAGGTGACTTAAGAATTGGAAATAATGATAAAAACAGTGACATGGGTAACAGTTGTTTCTGAAATGCCAAACAGATTTCCAATGGGTCGTCATTAGCATTACGATGCTTGTTGTATGCACATCTTGGGAAAAGCTGGCCTGGACTTTGATCAATCATGTTATGAAATGCTTGACTGTAATGTGAAAGAGAACAGCTGAAGTGATTGGCCATTATTAAAGCTATGCTTCCATATTACAGTTGTGCTTGTATATCACTCAATCTTGAAAATAGACAACTCCTTTAAGCCACTTTCAATGACAGCCATTATGAGAAAGTTGCAAACTGAAATATGTGCTTGCACTATAATCAACAATTACCCATGTTTTTTTACTCATGACATCAAATTTGAAGCGGCACTCATATAAACCCATAAATAGTTCTACCGAGTACCATATGCATCCCCTTCATTCATTTTGATGCTGTGTGAAATGCACAGTTACACACAGATACGCAAACTGCAGTTATTTGTGTGTAATGGGTAGTCTCTGTCAATAGAGGGGCTCTCTCACTGGCATTTAACAAGCTTATATGTCAGCAGGCAGAGACCCTGCAGCTGCCACATGGGCACATTCAGCACTGAGCATGTCCATAATGAGAGCCTTATTCAGTGGAATCAATGAGCGGAGATCTGTAAAGGCGTTGTGGTGAACGCTCTTGGTGCCCATCTGATTTTATCTCTTTGATGTCTGGGTCCTTTAGGTCAATGTTCACTTGTGAGGAGGAGGACAGGCCTGCCTTAGGGAAGCTGACATAATCTTGTTTTAGCAAGTGTCACGTCTTCAGTCTGACCATCTAAGCCAACAAGGGTAGGGTGAAGCATATGTCAAAGAATATTAGAGGTTGAATCTACATATCATTTTAAGCCATTAAGAAAAATGCATACAGTGCTGTGCAGAAGTCTTGATTCACCTCTAGTTTCTTTACACTTCTTGTAATTTTTAAAAGCAGTCTCGAGCAATAGTTCTCCAGGTTTTCTTAAGGTCTTTGAAAAGTTTTCTTTGGACGTTGGTGGTTTTTTCACTCATTTTCAGTCCTGTCCTTGTAACTGACCACTTAACACTGACCTATGAATCGCTGAGACATAAAATGGACACCCGATTCCCGATGATGTTTAATCTGCCCTTAAAAACCTAATGAAACTGGAAAAGTGTAACGAAACAAGAAGTAGAAGGCAACAGAACAGTATCTGAAGGGCATGTCCTTAAGAAATAAGAAGAAATTCAGCAAAGACCTGACACAGGACCTGAGCGATGGACCCGGTCCTTCAATCTACTACTAACCATAGCCTCATCAGAAATGGTCTCAGTACAAGAAGGGCTCCTTCCCACCATATTTTTTAAAATCATAGTTATCCTGCTACCTTTGCATTTAAAAACCTTCAAATAGACTGCGTCCACTCTCACCATTTCAAAAGCCAAAAAATAACTGGCTTACTCAGGGACAAAATTACAGGACCCGCACATTTACGAGCTAGAAATTGTTCTACCACATCCAACAGGTCAGTGTTGTTTTTCACTAGATGCAGTTTCACATCTGGTACATGGCGTTATGGAATTACTTTCTGCATTGAGAAGATGTTTTATCCCAGGGTTATTTTTGTACAAAGTGCCCACAGTGTAGTAGTAACTAATGATGGTGTAAAGCAGCTCATCTGTCTAGCTGCCTCAGAGGCACAGCTGAACAAGTTCTTTCAGGTATGGCATCAAATGAACACAGAAATAAGGTAATGCTAATGAGGTAGCGCACTGCTTCCATGAGTGATGACTGCCTTGTTAACAGCAGCCCCAGACGATCAATGGTTGTGCATTAGGAGGAAAATGAATCTTTTACTTTATTGCTGTCTTTAAGGCTGATTAATTTAGTTTCCAGGCATTTTATTCTATGCATGTGGGAATGGAAAATGTATTAGCCTGTGTTACACTTTTTGCTGATGGGTCTTTTTTTTCCCATGTTAACTTATGAGGTTACGCAGGTTTGCAACGTACCTACTGCCTTCATTTTTTTAGATGATAATGCACAAAATGTTATCTTATATCACAATATTAGGTAACCGAACAATCATTTCTCGTTTTCCTACGTGCTGTTGTGGAGTTTAGTGCTGAGGCAGTGAGACATGCTGCGCAAAAGAAATTCATTGTGTTTTGGCTTCAAATCGTAGCATATGGTTTAAAAGATTCAGAACGCGTTTTATGTTGACTACAAAAACAGTTGAGGAATACATCTGAGCAGAATACTTTACACTAAGGATGATGAAGCCCAGTTGGTTCTGCTTTAATCATCTGTAAATCCTCCTACTTTTTACTATGTGCCACCTTCCATACAGAAGAAAAAAGCTTTATTTAAGTGCCTTATGCTGTTGAGTCCCTCACCTGTCGCCACTGAGCACAAGGGCTGTCGAGTAAGAGAGGATATTGGGTGCTAAAGAAAAAGATTATGAGGGGAAGAGATGAAGAGATGGGCAGCAAGAACAGACAGCGAGAATGGAAGTGATAGAGAAAGCATTATTCCACCTCTAGGAGAAAAAAAGGGGTGTGAGCCACTTTCTTTTCTGTGAGAGCAGTTCAGCACTTGTGGCAGAGAAACAGCCACGCTGTATGACTGGCTAAAGTGAGTAACTGGCAGAGCATGAAGAACAGTCCTGCGCCTGGGCTTGTTGTTCCAGGAGCTAAGACTGGCCTGTCCACTGGGACTACTGCTAGCTGCTAACACTAGCACTAACACTGCTGTACTTGCTACATGCCTGATCAATACGCTGTTAGCAGAATCAGTGTGTGACACACAGAGATGGTAACGCGTTACTGTAATCCGATTACTTTTTTCAAGTAACGAGTAAAGTAAGGGATTACTATTGCAAAAACGGTAATTAGATTACCGTTACTTTCCCGTAGGAACGCTGCGTTACTGCGTTACTAAAACCGTGATTTTTTTGCGAGAATGTCTCATGACAGTGACGTAAGCGAGTGCGACGTTCGTGACAACAGCTGTGTGCAGATCAACAATGGATCATATATCGAGTGCGGGAGAGAGTATGAGCGTGCAGCGTTTAAAGCGTGGAAGTACTGACCTTACTTTGAGTTTGATTCCATAAAAAGTGACAAAAACATTAGCGTCCGCTTGTGCGTGGGAAGAAAACTTCTTTTTACAGCGAAAAAAACCCCTAAACTTCCAAGCAAGCTCCGAGTGCGCTACGACGTAATGGGAAACTCACAGAGAAACTCGCCGGATATCCTTCCACTGACCGCTGCGGCACACCTGCACCAGGGTAAACCTCCGCCTACCCACTCCTGCTTTACAGGTGAAAATAGAGCAAAAGGACCGCTAGTCTTTGATTTATTTATTTTCTGCTGTGTTTTACTTGCATCTATTTGAAAGAGTGAGTGTAAACACAAAAAATATTTTATTTTATGTGCTGGAATGTGCAGAAAATAGGTTTAAATGTTAAACAAATTTCTTCCAGTCAGAGAATGTTGCATATAATTAAATTTTTGCTTGATGCATAAAGTTAAAAGATTAAAACTAATAAAACAAGTTTTAAAAAGAGACTTTTCCATTTGATTACATTTTGTATGATGGATTATGTCAGAAAAAGTAGAATTGGGCTGAAAGATCTATCGCTTTATCACCTATTCAGGTTGTAAATCGTGTTTTTAAAAAGTAACTAAGTAACTAAGTAATTAATACTTTTGAAAATAAGTAATCAGTAAAGTAACGATTTTTTGGGGAAGTAATCAGTAATTAGTTACTGATTACTTTTTTCAAGTAACTTGACCAACACTGGTGACACATGGCCACTGTAGCTGTCCATATTCATAAGAAATAAACCAGGGTGCAATTGAAGAACCCATGAACATTGTTTTTAATAGTATCAATCTGATACTGTAAGCTCAAACATACACTGTGTATTCAACCCAACAATAACAGGTAATCATTTTTGAAGAGTTGAACTTGATATACTCTATAATTTCTGTTCTATCAAAATCGCTAAATCAGCGCAATTATTATGTGTAGACATCTGCAGCACTGCACAGCACAGTGTAGAGTAATTAGAACAGAATCACTTACTCACTATGCTAATCTTGATGCTGCTGTGTTAAGCAAAGTCCCTGTTTATTGTACTTATAATTGAAACACTGAAACCAATTTATGCTACATATATATAATGTTATGGCTATGAGCATCTAATACATACAGTCACATGAAAGAGTACAGCCTTGCTGCTTCCATAGAAATCAGGGGTGTACGGTAAGTAGCAGCCAAGTGCTGCTAATTGAATGCACTTAATTAACTGATCATCAGCAAGTGGGACCACCTTTGTTAAAGCAGAAGTTCTGCTGGTCTGGAGCATTCAGGTGTGTGTTAACACAATGGCATAATATTCCTAGCGGTGGATGTCCCCATGTTCCCAAGTGCACCAGCAAATCTACAGCATAATGATGGAAAAAGAAAAGAAACAAGGTGTTGCAATATTCTGGTTAAAATCCAGACCTCAGTCTGATTGAAATGCGGTGGCGGGACATTAAGAGAGCTGTACATAAGCATTTGCTTGCACTGAAGCAAAACTGTAAAGATGCGTCGGCCAAAATTCCTTCACAACGATGTGAGAGACTGATAAAGTCATACAGAATACAATTACTTCACCGATTACTGCTGCTAACGGTGGTGCCACAAGCTACTGGTTCATGGGGTGTAGTTTGTTTTCCACAGGACTGCATAGAATACTGTCAGCCTTTCTTTTTCACATGACTGTACATGAGTGTTCATTATTTTTGTCGTTTTTAATCACATTTGCCTTACAACTAATTCTGAGCTGCAGTATGCCAAAAGCTTATTTTGTGTTTATTTGGCTGACAGTCAAAGCTAATTGAAGAGCATGTATGTTTTTGTATTAGTAATACTACAGTGATGACAGTATGCTGACTTAAAAGTTACAGCCCAAGCCTCAGGGGTATGATTGGCTGCCTTTTCTGTGCGTGCATAAAAATACATACTGATTCCTTGCCAAATGTGTTCATTTGCTTCCCAAAAATCCTTTAAATATGGCCACATTTTGATTTGCATTATGAGCGATTTGCTAAAAAGGATGCTGAACCCTGTCCATTCAACTGAATGTTGACCGTGCGGATGTAAAGTGCCATTTTACTTTACTTTTAAGAAATTTGATAATGAATTTCACTCCGTAATTTAGTGATGGGCTGGGTAGTTTTGGGCTACCTAAACATTTATGAATGGAAAAAAAGCAGTGTGAACAAGCGTTTGCCCTCTTCCTGATTTCCTAGTTTTATTTGTCACACTTATGTGTTTCAAACAAACACATTTTAATATTAGACAAAGATAACCAGAGTAAATACAAAATGCAGTTTTTATGATTTAATTGATTAAGGGAAAAAAGTTGGTCCTGTGTGTAAAAGTAATTGCCCTTCTTGTTAAATCATGACTATTTCTCATATCTCTATATATGTTTATGTGGGAAAATCCCAATATATGACCATGTTCAATGTCACTTAAATCACCTTTCTTCCTGAAGCTCAGTTTGAACTCCAATAGGACATTTTGACCATCTCTTCATGCCTAAATACACCGAACTGCACTGAGTTGGCTGATTGTATATTTATGTTAACAAGCAGTTGAACAAGTCCACGTAACAAAGTAACCAGTTAATATTTCTTAATCAGCCCAAAATTAGGTACAGGTGGAGACCAACGTTTGTACACTGCTGTGAAACCACTTGGATAAATCTTTATAATTATTAAAAAATTTGCTTTATGTTACGGTCTCACAACTTTATATTTTCAATGATAATATCCTTGGCATCACTGTGATACACAATTTCTTTACTTGATTTTTCCATTTAGGTTAAAAAACACATAGCTGATACACTTTTCACACTTATATGGGTAATTTTCAAGCTGTATTTGCGAATATCTTTCATTTACACAACCCTGTCAAAGCTGTATATTTTGTACATGGCTAAATATTGCTATAGTACTCATCATCGTTTTATCACAGACTTGCAGGAATAACAAGTAATATCCTGGACTACTTTGACCTAATTGTTATAAATATCTGTATTGTATTAAATGTAGGTGTGCCATCTTCCACAGGTGCCCCAAGATGAGTGGAGTGGATACCCAGGTGAGAAGGATGACGAGATCCCATGTCGGCGGATGCGAAGCAGTAGCTATGTTAAAGCAATGGGAGAGGTGGATGATGAAAGTGGGGACTCTGACACCAGCCCTAAGACCTCTCCACAAAAGACCATTCGGTCAGATGCTCTTGTCCTCAAATCAGCCATGCAGAGACCCCATTTAGACTCCCACAGGTAGGCCTGGTTGCCTAACGTATTGACTTAGTGTGCCCACGGCAATGCTGTGTATTCATTTAAATATTCCAGTTTTTATCATGGGTTCACTAAGGTCTTACTCAAAAAAAGGTAAGATGATGCACTGTGATTCATTTCCCTTTTATTTCACAAGTTTCAAATATTTACATGACAAAACCAACGCTCATCAATAGCAGTATCTCTGGTGTTGCTTCAGGGTCAACCAGTTGAGCTGCTTGGATTTCAGTGTTAATTGTTGCTTGGCTAGAATTTATTGGAGTCAACGCTGAGGACACAAGTTGTTTTTTTTTCATACTTCAATACAAGTGAAAAGTTGGGAGTTTTGATGCAACACTTGCTGCTAACAAAATGTTGCTGCATGCTGTGTTTAGTTGGTGCTCAAAGCAAGAACATTCAGAGTCGTCTATATAAATAAACAGTCTCACTGCTCTGCCTACATGCTGTCAAAGTAAAATTGCTGTTTGTTAATGCTGCTTTTTGTTAAGCTGTCCCTGAGAGATATGACTAAATTGAACAGTCAGGTGATTTCAAGTGAAGTTACTTTGGAAAACAATAGTACCTTTGTTGGCTTGTATGGTTGGTGTGGTTGGCTCTTTTTTGGTCTTAGGCATTGCCTGCCAAGCACTGTATTTCTACAACTGTTTCATGGGTCAGCTGCAGCCGTGCTCTGGTGATTGCTGTGGCACCAACTGGTTTTGAGTTTGATATAAATTTCTGATATACCATACACAAACACTGCATCGCCGCATCACGCTATTGCTGACAATTCTGTCAAAATAAGAAAGAAAGAGAGCCGGTTCAAATGCAGGAGAGGTGACACATGGAAGGGCATACGTTAAAGTTAACACTGCTTGATGAAAAGCCTTGGGGGAAGTGACGGGTTTGTTCTGTAACCCAGCCAAGTGTGGAGTATATATGTCTGTGTTTTGATCCTAGACAGACTTTGACAAAGGGAGAGCATGCAATCTCCACATAGAAAGGCCCCAGTCGACCTGTGGAGCCAAACCCAAGACCCTCCTGCACTACTGTGTTGCCTTTACAATTACAACAAACCTTAATTATTGACAGTTTTACCATTCACTTTCACTCTAATGTGATCTACTCATTAATATAAATGTGGTAATTAGTATTTTGTTGATAATTATTCTAATCAGGGTTAACATACAAATAACATGTTGCAAAAGGTTCTGCACTGGACAAATTGAGATTAATTATCCAGATGATTTGTGTGATGTTACTTTTTAAAGCACAGTGTACATCAGTTGGCTGTTTTAGAACAGATAGATTTCGCTTCTCAGGATCTTACCACCTCCATTTAATGATTTCCTAATGATCTCTCGCTGGTAAATGGTGACCATGTGTATCTTTTTCATGCTAAACCAGAACAACATACAGAGTGTTTTTTAATTGGCGTATTCGTGATGTCATTGCTCTACCTAAGCTAAAACACAGCTTTCCCCCCCAATTTATTGTTCTCTGTGACTGTTTGTTTTCAGGCACTGTGACTTTCAAACGCAGCCAAATTCTTGAAGCTAGGGAGCTGTCGTGAATCCGTCATCTCTACTGCCACTGAGTGCTAATTTTGTTACCATCATCTCAGTGGGGAACTGATCACTTTTGCTTTTGTCCACAAACAAAACAGCTCTTATGTTTTGTTTATCCTCTGGTGGAGAATGTAATAATCTCTTACTGTAACTCCATGCTGTCACTGTTTCCCTAATAAGAGCCACAGCCTAGCTATGCATGCTCTCTATGATTTTGGGATGAATGAACTAGTGTTTTATCATGGAACTAGAGGATATTTAAAAATGAGAGGGGTGAGGGGGTATCATGTAGAAGTGAGAGGGTAGAAGTTCATTTTCATTTAATCACAAACAAGGCCGTGCCAACAGATGCTAACCAGCGGATTTATAAACTACAGTGTGTTCCAGATGTTACCTTTGTGGCTTTTGAACTGTGAAATCGTGTCTGTCCCTGCCCCCTGTCCTTGTTCAGCCAGGGCTACCACTTGCAAACCACAAGAGATATACAGCCCCACCCTAGTGTCACGCTGGACCCCGCCACCTTTCATCCCCCGCCCTTCCGCTCTCGCAACCAGAGCTACATGCGCGCCGTCAGCACCCTCAGTCAGGCTAGCTGCGTCAGCCAGGTGAGTCTCAAACACATGCATTACACAGAGGCAACACCTGGACACATCACTGAGAGCTTATATCAGTTTGTATGTAGTAGCACTGTGCTGAGGACAGCACAGAGGCACTAAGCACCCAAGGGAGGTCCCCTGATTATTAGATTGCAGAGCAGGGGTGTCAAACATAAGGCCCAGGAGCCAGAATCAGCTGGGCAAAGACTCCAATCCGGCCTACTAGATGTCTTTGGAAAATATGAAGGAGGGCTTGAATTATGGACTTTTCACTGTACTTTCATAAGTGTTACTACTACAATTAAGACCTCCCACTTGGTCATTAATACCACACTAAAGTCAATAAGTTGTAGATAAAAAAATAAAATTACATTCGCCGCTATCTACTATTTACTGTAGACTAATGGGTCTATAGTGAGTTAACAAGAAACTTCTGTTTTATATTTACAGGGAAGTCTGGGAAATTAACTACTAGAATTTTTCCTGTGATTTCTTTCATTAACTACAGCACAATTTCTTTATTATGTACAAAAAGACACATGCTGTTGAATTAGACTTCTTTATCTAATATTAAGATACCTCAGGGATTAAATGTGTTGTTAAATCTCTTTACACTGACAGAAAGGGGCATTTCACTGGTCTGGCCCAATTAAGTTCAAAGTGGGCTTTGTGTGGCCCACAATGTAAAGCGAGTTTGACATCCCTGTTGTAGACAAAGCCTTGGCTATATCAGTCAAACGAAATTGGAATAACTTATTGCTTTTACTGTTTGGGTACAGATGATTTATCTGAAAGCTTATGTCTAAATCAATTCCAGGCACAGTCCAACATGGTTTACAGTTTGTTTCTGAAGTGTTATCTGCTCATAAAAAAAATGTGAAATTACACATAATTATTAAATTAGGACATCAGTGTCACATCAGCAAGTTTGCATCTTGATATCTGGAACAGGCTACTGATACACAGTTAATGAGCCTAGTGTTGTTTTAGCATGCCAACTCGTTTGTTTTGGTTGACAGGGCTTTTTTGTCACCCTCGAGCAATGTACTACAGTACTAGTGTAGGCCTGGAGATGAAATAAATACACGTTTTGAACCAACATCATCATTCAAATAAATTCTAATTCAAATACCTTCTTCTCCTATGAATCTATACATTTGGATAAATTAAGTCCGTTTGGACCTCCATGGTGGCTTAAGATGTGGTTACTGCTGCAAGATCTGAGACACATCCACTATTGGACCTTCAATACGTACATGGAGTAACAATGAGGAGAGATTTTGGCTAAAACACAGGTTGAAAAATCAGTTTACACCCTTACGTGCTAACACCTAGTTTTCCATTACTGGAAAAGGTCTAATTAATAGCAAATCATTCCTGTTTTTAAATAGTAAAGGCTAAAGTAATAATGAAAAGGCAATATTATCTCAATAGTACATCAACATTTACATTTACATAATTCAAATATAATAATTATAATTCAAATAATAAATAATTCAAATAAATAATTCAAATATAAACAAAAGTATGCAGCCAACACAATTTGTATCACTAAAAAAAAGAAGCTATTTTTAGCTCTTCCCTCATTCACAAGGAGTTTCCAGAACAGGTAAACTCCACATGTTTGATTTGGCAGAGTTTTCGTGCCAGATGTCCTTCCTGACGCAGCCCCAAAGGGATTTGTGTCTCCTCGTAGGATTGAACTGGGGATCTATTGGTGGTTAGGCAAATGCTTTAACTACTACACTACAGAGACACGTTCAGCACTTAGCTGTAAAATAACATTTCCCTTTGATGAGTACATGATTTTCACATTAACAAATGAATCTTGTTACACAGAGCAGTTTATTGTACTTCTAAGCTCTTCCACGACTTATGAGATATCTTCCATCTGTTAGCATTCAGTATACTGTATAGAACGTCTTTTGTGATCAATTTATTGCTTTATAACTCAAACTGGCTATTTTTCTTATTGTTTTTTTGTTGTCATCTGAATTTTTTTCCCCCCATTTGATCTGACATTTATTCAGTTTAAGGTCGAAACTGACAGCGGCGTTTCCTTATGCTAACACTCCTTCATATTTGCTGTGCAAAGGGGAAGAATCAAAGTGAGAAAGAGAAAGGAAGAGGAAAAATTAAGGACTGCTATTCCTGTTTTTGTCTCTCAGGTGAGTGAGACTGAGATCAATGGCCAGTTTGAGTCAGTTTGCGAGTCCGTTTTTAGTGAAGTAGAATCCCAGGCCATGGAGGCCTTGGACCTGCCTGGTTCGTTCCGCACTCGAAGCCACAGTTACCTCCGTGCAATTCAGGCTGGTTATTCCCAAGATGACGACTGCTTGCCTTCAATGACATCCTCCACTGTCACTTCAACTCTCAGATCCACAACAGGTAAAACAATCCCCCCCCTGAATAAGAGAGGGCTTAGATTACATATCTTCATATATCCTATACATGCGCACAAACTTGACATACCTAAATATGTACAGTGGGGAACCCTTGAGCTTCAGAGATGCCGGGCTGAATGATTCCAGTTATTTTCTTTGGAAGCTATGGTGTACGTGTGTTTGTTTTTTTGCCACTGCATACTCCCAGTTGTTTAGATGGACCTGCTTGTGTGTTACGTTGCATGAGTCATGCATCATTAGCCAAGCTTCTGATTGGTCAGTTGTGGTGTTGCCGAGCTTTAATCTAGGATAGGGGTGGGAGAGCTACATTTTAAACATTAAGATGGCAACACATGGCCATAGTACACAGTATAATAACACAGCACAGCCGCATTACATGGCATGCCTAAAAGGAACAGGCCCGAACCAAAGCATGTTAAAGTGTGGTGTTATTTATGTATTATGAAAAGCGTGTGAGTTACTTAGGGAGGGGTGAAAAACAAAATGGGCCAGGGGGCAGGGGAGCAGTAGGTCACTGATATACTTGTTTGAGAGGACACACTGGACAAAGCATTCACCTGTACTCCCCATTAGCACAAACTTTGTAACGGACATTGCAATTGGCTACATAAAATAAAAAAATGTAAAAAAAAAAAAACAAAACAAAACAAACAATTTAAGGTAAGTCAACAAGCTTTAGCAGCTAGTACATATGCACACCTACATGCTGGTTGCACAAAGAAACTACACTACACATGTTAGAATTTGAAAGAAAAAAACTTTACTAACAGTATTGTTGTACTGTGTTGCATGAAACTTGAGTTAATGCTACCAAGTGTCCCAATGAATGATATGTCAATGTAAAAATGCAATAATTTCAAGGTTTTTTGTGACACAGTTCAAACAATATGTCCCTTTATTTAGCATTTCAGGTTCTTTGTGCAAGCACAGTCTTTCCGGTAACTCCCTCACTGAGTGTATTTGGTGTTTGCCTGCAAGAGTAAAGCTATGAACCCTATTGAAACATTTTTTTCTCTAATTACATGCATTTTTTTAATATTATGGATTACCTGGATTTTTACTGTTTTTGTACACTTTTCTGTCAATTTAATATTGGAGACATTTGCAGTTTTATTCATTTTGTTGCCTTTGTTTTCTTGTTGAATCTGGACTTTTGTTTTTGTTTTTTATCCTTTCATTCTCAATTGGGTTTCCATCTACGATTTCTACGATGTGACAGAAGTACTGAGGACAAAGGAGTGTTCTCCAATCCCACCGTCTTATTTGCTTAACGCTATTCATTTAACTCTGCTCCAAATCTGTCAGCTCAACATGGGCGAAAACAAGCAGTTGACTGTACATTATGTTCTGAAATTGTATTACCAAGATTACCATAATGCATCGATTACAACATGCAATATAAGACTGTAGCAGTTCAGAGAAAGGACTCCCTGGATGCTGATAAAATATACAGTACTGCCACCTCCCATACAACCCGTACTGTAAATATTACTTGTTTTTGGGATGCACTATAATTATGCGTGAATAGTGGCCATAAAATAAAATAAGAGAGAATCGCTTATTCATGGAATCCTGTTTTTATGTTAGTCTTCAGTACTAGATTATTACTATTATTATTAAACTGTAAGCAACTTATGACCCAAACCCTGAGGCTAGTGGGCCATTGAGTGGGGAAGGGACCCCATGGTGCTCCGTAGGGCAGACGAACAGCAAACCCCTCTCCATTTGACCATCCACCTCTTGAAGGATAACCAAGGGGAAAGAACAACTGGAGGCATCAGTGATGATTGTTGCAGGTATTTTAATGTTGACACGCATACATATATCTATGTATATGTGTGTTTTTGCACTGCCTTCTCAGTAAAAATAGCAGATAAAGTTTATATGTAGTTTGTAGAAATATCGCCTTATGTTATCCCAAGTAGCAAACATGGTGTCAAACAACTCATAAAACCTCAGACATGTTGATTTATTTTTAGAGCACTGGTAATGCTGAATATTGATTACAGTGATGAATGTGATGCTGGCTTTTGTGAGTTGTTTACCACGTCTCTATTTTAAGTGTTCTTAGACCACATTGTAAGTGTAAATGTATGCGGTATGTTCTGCCCAGACTCTTCAGAATGTTTTCATGCTTCAGCATAAAATAGCAGTGAATGTTATCGCATTGCCACTGTCTCCAATCATTTGTGAGCGCAGCATCTACCTGTTGTACATGTGTGAACTTTTTTTCTTTTCTTTCATGAAAATCTGGCTTCTTTTCAAAAGGCCACTTGTGGCAGAGTCTAACTCTTGGCAGTGATTTTGTCAACTGTCTTGGACTGTGGGATTGCAGCCTCTCCCTGGTGCAGCCCTCACCGGGTTTGAATATTTCACATGGTCTAAATCAGTCACCTTGGACCTGATATGTTCAATAGGGTTCATATCTGCTTCTTGTGATTCTTCTACTCCCTTTGCATCTTTTCTTTTGCACAAAATTGCACAAATTTTAAGTAAGTCAGAAACATTTGACATGGTTTGAGAAAGGGTTCTCAGAAAAAAAATGAATCTATGATTTGATAATGATTGATGTATTTCATGTTTAATTCCACTCTTTGTTGTGCTGTGCAGTGAAAAGATGGAAAGAAGCCTTGAGATGACTGAGAAGGCAGTGTAAAAACATTGTGAAAAGCCTGCAGTATGTGAGTTAGGTCATAATCGTTGCCTTTGTGGAGTAAGAGAACTGAAAAGCATATTTCAGTAAAGGTGCATTTTTAAGCAGGTTTTGGCTGACCGATATTCACCTACATCTTAGCCGTGCACATTTCTAATGCTTGTGGTGGGTGCAGATGGGTTACTTAACGTTAAACCTGTCAAACCAAATGGGAAATCAATAGATCAGAGCTTGTACATCTTTGGAACTTTCCACTCACATACTGTATGTTTTCCATAGATATGTGTTATACTGTAGATCAGAATCCCAGTCAAATCCCACTCCAGCTGTTCTTTTCACCCTGAATGTCCTTCTGTTTGCATATTCACATTTTTCTTCCAGAGGGATATGATGTATTGGATGGAACATCCTTACTAAATGATGACATGATCGAGGATGATGATGGTGCTAGCTCCTCTGCCTATGCGGAGCTCGAGAGGCTAGAGAGAGAAACTGCTGCTGCACGCAGCCAGCACAGTACTAGCTCCACGGTAACAGCCATCTCGATCCCACCGGCACCTCCACCTTCATACAGGGTCCCTACCGCCTCACCAATAGCCACCTCTGAGCAACCGGTTCCTCAGGCCATTCAGGCCTTTAAGGAGTCTGCTAACATGGTCGCTGCCTTCAACATGCAGTGGAAGGATGAAATCTCTGCAATGCGCTACGAACTAGCAGAGCTGCGCAGAGATGTCTGTGGGGAATTAAAAACTTTCAACAGCAACTTCTTCAACTTTACTCAGTGCTACAACATGTGGACTTTGTGCCGGGAGCCCTGCAGCGACAGCACCACACAAACAGATGACAGAGTTTCCATAGGAATTCAAGCAGGCTCAAGCTGGTCTGTACGACAAAACACAGAGGACAAGTCAGTGATGTGCCAACCCGAGCCAGCACCCTTCAGTATCATGGATTTGATGGACCCACCTCGAATTGAGATTATAGAGGGAACTCCTGAAAGCACGCCAGAGGGGTCAGGCAGCCCCGCCAGCCCACTTCCAATAGAGGATTTCCCATGGGAGATCAACAAAAAGCAAAAGGCTCATAAGCAGCCAGACACAACTGGCCACACAGGTGGTCACAGAAGCGCCAGTCTAGAACTGTGGAGCAGGAAGTACACCAGTGGGCCCATGTCATACCTGTCTATGTCATTTTAGCCATACATACATGTAATTGGAAAATGAAATAAGGAAAACGGGCTGAAAACCTGAAAATTCAGAAAAGGGGAGCAGAACCATGCTGTTATTAGATGTCCCTTTACGCTATGCAGACACAGAGTCTGTCATCTCTTGAACAGGTTTCACTATTGTTCAAGCAATCTTTTAACAAGTGTCTTGCTTAGCCATCGAACAAAGTAATTATTTTGTTTCACACCAGAATGAGGTGACATCATAATCTGAGGGAGAATGTGACTGATATTCAGATCCTCAAGTGCCAACGAGTGCAGCATCATCTTCCCTCCGCTGTCTTAAATACTCAAAAAAGCCAATTTAAGTAATCATGATTGGAAATTTGAGGGATATTCAACAATATAACTCAACTATCAGCCAATGTGAGGTGACGCATATCTCAGTCTGTTTCTGCACATGAATTTGAATAGCTCATGTTCATTCCAGTTTCTCTTCATGTAGAAACATTCTCTTAAGCACCTGAAAAAATACTGTGAATACCTTTATAAACCCTAGTTTTTTAATGAATGCATTAAAGATGAATACATTATTTAAGGATATATTGATATATAATTTATGTTTCAGTTATCGTGATCAAAGCATTCCTTTGCCATTGCCTTCTTCCATTTTGTAGCCAGTTCCAGTTGAAATGGGCATTTTTCTTTTTAATTTCCAACATATGAGCATATTTTCAGTGGTGAACTGATGAACCATGCAGCATAAAGATCAAACAGTAGTTTAGGAAACAGCAGGTAGTGGTGAAAACAATCTGTCATAACCCTCATAAATTGTTTAAAAGTCCTATTCTCTGGAACACTGTATGGATTGCACTGTCTCAAAGCTCTGAGGACCTAGTCCCTGACCAGAATTGTTTACGATAAATTATTCTGATTGACTATGAAGTCAAACAGCCAGCAAAGCGTAAAACAGTAAAGGGGAATTCACAGAAATTATCAAGTTTGAATGTACTGGCTTCAACTCATTCCTGCACAAACTGCATTTATGTTGAAACTCTGTATATGTATGTAAATGTATCATTTTGTAAATAGAGAAACTTATATTCAATACTTGTACTGTTTGCAGTTACAAACATACTGTGTTCTGAAAGCGCTGAGAGGGGTTAAAGTAGTAACTGGGTTTCTAAACCAAACACACGTTTACCAGTCTTCAATGTCCATCTTTATTTGTTTCATCCTGTTCATCACCCCACTGTTTTTTGCACATCATGATGAAGTCAGAAGTTCATAACAGTGTTTCACCTGTTGTTTTAAGTGAATGTTCTTCAACTGTTATGAAAAATGTCTTAACTAGTCACATTTTATTTTAGCTCTAAAAAAACATATATTTGATCTAAATCCTATCATATTTCTCCAGTGATAAAATGCTGAGGCTGTTCATCACTATAACAGAGAAACACTGGTCCCTGTAAGTAGACAATCAGAGCCACTGAGGGCCTCTACCTCTTCGATATGTCCCCAGAGGTGCAGTATAGTGCCACTGAATGTACTAACACCGCCTCACTAGTGATGGCTTAGCTGGGCTCCTGTCAAGCCCTAATGGGTGGGAGCCCAGAATCATCTGCTCTATTTGGCTAACTGCTCATTCTGCCTCTTACTTATAAAATAATAGTTGCTCATTAGCCACTGATATTGCCCTCATCCCCTCCATTGTCACATTATACCTGCAAGGCATACCAAAGTTAATACTGAAAGGTGTGGAAAAAGAGTCCAACAGCAAACAAGTTTGACAGGACTTATCTTTGGACTGCAGCACAGGACCACCGGAAGCCTATATGTATCAAACCCCGACTGAAATGTGAACCTTCAGCAAGGACTTTAAATAAAGAAGAGGCATCATCTCTCAATTTATAAAGAGAGTGGTTCTTCTTCCTGTTTTGCACGACCCAAAAAAACAATATTCACAGAATAAAGCGGCATTTTGATAAGCTGACAGTTGTACAAAGGCTGTAACAAAGGTGAATCAGAATTAATGTTGAAGCCACAAAAGGAGGAAGGCAGACATTTCCTTTTGAGTTTCTGCTGTAGGAGTATCCTACACCTGTTTCAGCAAGCTGTTAAACCTGAGCTCAAACACCTGACTAAATTTCAATCTGTAGATGGGGATGTTTGACAACAAGTCCAAAGTTGTGGTTTTATTAGGACATATACGGATAAGCTCAAGTGTATTGCTATGATTGTCTACTATTTGCAATACTGATTATACATTTTAAAACATTGTAACTTATTTAATTTAGCTTTAACCTAAACATAAGACGTTGAAATTTTCATTACAGGCCATTACAGGTTGGGTTAGCATAATTAAATCATAAAATCATAAAAGATTACAGTGAAAGGCTTATGACTGTGACAACATTTAGCCTATAATCATTTTAATATGAAGTGTATATATATCTATATCTATATAGATATAGATATATATATATATAGATATATATGATACATGTACAAATATGAAAAACATTTGGATAGGCTTGTGTTCATAATTCTGCTTTTTGAATGCTTAAGAGGGGACTGCAGTGGCATTCTCTTACATTGTTTCCCATTGTTTGGGGAATGTAAACTAATTTAAAAGGTGCTGAAGACTGGCCAATCGTGACGTCTCCAATCTGCGTTCATTCATTCTATGCAAGTCCTTTGTTTCCTGTTGTATGTAGCTACATTTTAACAGTTTTAGATATGAACGTTTATGTTGAGCCTTCATGCCGGTCATCAATTTCGGAAATAGAATCACATTTTCAGAAAATATTGGTGACTCTTTGGAAAAAAAACGTTCTTATTTCTGCATGAGCCATAGGCAACGCTAAGGTTTCCTTAAGTGTTGGCTGCAAAAAAGTTGTTTCATCCACATTTCTACTAATTTAGCCTGTATGTACCTAAGAATCTACGATTTTTGGGGGGGAGGGGATGAGATTCCAGCTATGTAGTAGCATCTACATGTTTTGTGACACTGCATACAAAAAACTGAATAATCATATAACAATTTTACCAAATACAGCCAAATTAGAAAATAGGCCTCCAATAATATATTTGGAAATGCTGTACAAATGCTTAACATTCTTCTCGATCTATATACAACTAAACTGCAAACTCATGACTGATTGATGCCAGGGAATGCACCAATTTTTTTAAATATAAGTTTAATCCAGTCATTCATTTTCATTTTATTACTTTGCTCAAAGATATTACCCTTCCCTTGAAGCAAGTTGAAATGTAGCAAAAATACAGATCTAAATAATATTTTCAAATCATATATGTGAAGGATATACATATTAAAAAAACAGACCGAAGATGAAATAGACAAAGGGTATTTGCAATTATTTTTTATCATGCAACCATATTTTCTGTAATGAAATATATAACTATTTGTAAGAAATTCTGTCTACAGTATCTAATATGTTTCAATATGTAGTCAATTTTGCCATTAGTTTTTGTTTACATTTCCTTGTCATCCAGAGATATGATGCAACAACTGTGCCAACTCTGTGAAGTCCAGTTAATGGGACAGGGGTTTTTGGATGGAATCTGATCTCACCTGAACCTGTAACACTGCTTCAATATAAATCTTTTTCTATCCCTGTGTTCTCTTCCTGCATTTATTTATGGTGTCTTGGAGAAAACAAGCTAATTTTCAGGGATCTCAGACTGCATTGTTAAGTGAATACGATTTTGTCAAATTAAAAAAGAAAAAAAAAGAAAGCATTCTTTTTAAATGATAGTTTAGCCTGCACTTGTTAGCTTATGCTTATTTTGTTAAATGAATGAAAACTGTGTGATACGTTTTTTCCTCTTTTATTTTTGCTTATTGTGGTGTTTCTTGTGATTATTTATTTCAAACTTTTATTGGCCTTATGTATTTTTCATAAATTGATATAAAACAATGGATTGAAATGTTTATGATGTTTATGATAATTCAAAATGGAAAAATAGGGATCATAGCTTTACAGTGGCGTTCAAAGATGCGATTGACCTTACGGCACTGATAGCATTTTTTTTGTGTCCAAAATCTATATACTCTTCAACACACTGCAAATACACAACACAAGCCTGGCACAGTGTCTTTTACTTTGACCCTCTCAATATGTCTTGCTTTTCTACTAAGCTATCACCTTTTTTGTTTTTGTTTGTTTGTTTGTTTTCCTTTTTTGTCGTTTCCCCCATTTTAGGCCTCCGTAGCTTAGCTGGGGGGCGTAGAGAGTACGGTAGGTCTGGTAGGGAACCGCTTTATTCTATCTTTTTTGTATGTTTTTCATACATTTTGTCTGTCATTAACATTTTCACTTGATAAAAATGAGATATCATAAGTTAAATATGCCATCATGTATAAGTATGTATAATACATTTCATTGTTTTCATCTGTTTCAAAATTGAGTTCAATTTTATATTAAGATTTTATAGCAGTTCTGGATCTTTTTCAAAAAAAGAAAAAAGTTTGTCATATAACAAAAAATACCCACATGTTGGCCTAGTGTTAGCCACTGGCAATTTTGAACAATATACTTTTAAAATCTTTTCTGCACAACTGCCTCCTAATTTAACTGAGATGTGCATGAAGCCTTTTAACAAAGACCATAATTAATTTTTTGTTCATTTCTTTTAATATTATAGTTCTGTTTAAATTCATTAGTTTTAGCAGTGATTCACCCTCTTGCTTTAACCATTGTATATATTTTTCTTTATGAAAACCGAGGGGAGTAAAATCAGCACACACTGTGTTTAAGGCAGGTTCTGACCAGCATAACAGCTTTCTTCTACAAACCACAACAAATCAATGCTTAATATACCTTTGTTAATGTGTAGTAAAGTCACTTGTTTTTAGCAGTTGCTTTAGGATTAGTTTTAAGAGAAAGATAGACACTATTTTCATTTTAAATGGGGTGGTGTAAATGGTATTTTATAGCATTCTACCGTCTCACATCATGGTAGAAGATTTGGGTATTTTGGACACTGATATGTTTATTTTTAAATATACCAGAAAGTGGATTTTTTTTCAAGCAGGCTACAAATCATGTTAAACTTGTAATCGGGGGCTCTCAGTAGATAAATTAACTTATGAGTAATCTTAAACTCTCTGTTCGTAGTGAGATGACTAGATATACTGTAGCAAACCTAGAACATGTTAGCCCACTAACAGTCATATCCTATAGTTACTTCTCAGTTTCTGTGAAACAAATCTTTTGATAAACCACAGGCCTGTACTATAAAGCAGGATTTGGGCTTATCCAGGTAGCTTCTGAGTTAACCCTGGGTTTCTGCTATTATAAAGTTAGGGGTATATCCCCATGGTAACTAATTCTGCAGACCTAAGATGCTCTGGAGCAGGTTCTGTTTAAGATTACAGATTAAAAGCTATGAAGTCACCACTAACCAATAACCAAGGAACTTTATTCCTTGCTTTTTCCGGTTTGGGTCAAATTATTTTCTTTTTTAAAAACTTTTGTTCTATAAGCATTAATATGCAATCCGATAACAGGGTGCATTTTTGGACTCATGGATTTATTATAACAGAATTAATACTGTATATAGTCTAAGCCTATGCTTGAATTGCATAATGTCAAGCCTTTACTCCTATAGTTGAACCTCATCAGGACTGCAGCTGAAAAAATGCATATTTGCAGACTTTCCTTATTGGGTTCAGATAGATAACCTATATTGATATAGCCAATTAGACTCTCATACTGGTCATTTGTCTGCAATAACTTTGTTACTTTAGATCTATTTGTGTATTTAACCTCTTCATATTTTTCCAATAATAGTGTTATCTTCTTTTGAAAAGTCTGTTGTTCTGCTGCCAGTTTACCTAGCCATGTTTATCACTGGTCATATATACAATTGTAGCTAGACTGATAAACCCTGGGTCAACTTATTGACCTTTTTACTGATGTTAGGGTAAGTGAAGCCAGCTAACATACCCTGGGTACGTTTATCACGCTTCATAGTACAGCGTCCAGGATAGGCCTACTTACGTTTTAGATGGAGTGCTATTGAATTCCCAACATTAGTCCAGCATGTTGTCTTTGCACACTCAAAATATACTAACCTAATCTCAGGAAACCCTTTTCTAATTTTTATCATGTTGGTCTTTGTTTTTGACAACACCTTTGAGCTTACAGTGTACAAGTAACTTTACTTTCGTTTTAACAGCCGGGGGGGGTATTACACTGAAAAAAAGTGGTAGTTTAGGCCATTGATTTGTATTGGTTTGTTCTGAAATACTCATACATACAAGGTTAATCCACCTTGCATCCATGGGGGCATCACCACTGTATGTATATATGTATGTGGCAATGAACAACATGTTTGTTTTATTGTAAAAGAAAGGGCTACACAAATTTAAATTTAAACATTTTGTAAACCCAATAGAATCATCTACAATTGACCTCTACACACCGTCAGGTATAACTAGTTGTCCTACGTCAAATCATCCATTCAGTCATCCATTTACCAATCAATCCACTCCATCTTTTCAAAACACCAGTGTCATATTCAGGTTTAAACACAGGACAGAGTATAGGGCCTGAATAGGAACAAGGAAAAGAAAATTCTCTATTTCTATTTTTCCTTGTTGCTTTTGCCAGACACAGTTATTTATTTTGGCTCAGTCAAAGTTTAGGGAACAAACTTTAGGGAAAAAAAGTTGTATACTACATGCTATATGTATGCTGTTATGTAAAACAGAAAATACTTTTTGCTAGTTTTCCATATAAAGTATGCGCTTGTCTCTAATTTCTTAGGAAATCTTTTTGATTGCAACAAAATTACTCAGATAACAGAAACACCAAAGTTCCATTTTTATCATTATCCTTGTCAAACTGAAGTGAAACTAGACATTAACTCTCTCTATAGCTAGAGTTAAATAAAACACAGCAACACGGAAGATTTCACCTTCATTTTGTTACATCCGCAGCCCCCATGCTCATGTACACAGCTCGTCAGTCATTGCATATCATTAACCCACAACCCTGATCTGAGTAAGAACAGCATCTTACCAGCCTCTTTGCCAGTCTGAGTCCACAACTATGGCAAGAACAGCCTCTGGCACAAATGGCGGGAGTCGGACGGAGCGGAGACACTGTCAGAACTTTTCCCAACGGTTTTTCTGAAATTTAAGTGTTGAACACAAAGAAGCAAAAGGTTTGAGAGGTCTGGCTGAAAAGCACGAGAGTGGAGGTCTGTTATATTTTTTGCACCAAAATTATTGTTATGGAATAGTATTGGGTTGCACTTTACATAAAGTCCATGTAAGTACAAAAGGTTTCTCTTTTATTTTCCCTAATTGTGCCGATATAATCAATTGGGAATCTGCACCACAAAATATGCTAATTTCAAATGTTTTAATTTAATTGTAAGTGTAAAGTAGTGATAAGTGTTTTTTATGTGTGCCCATGTACTTGCACTTCATGTAAAGTGTGACTAAAACTCATGAGATCAAATACAAACAGAAACGCATTTGGTCATAGGGTGATCGTAACCATTTTGTGTGAAATTTTAAAAATGCCAAAAGTGAAACTTCAAAAAGATCCATATGCTGAAATACAACATGCAATGTTTTTTACTACATCAGTCAAAGCCAGTCTTCACATTAAGAATGAGAATAGGAGACTGCTTTACTTTTTAGTCTAAACATGTTCTTTGTCTGGCTGTCTCAGCACATCTCATCTTACTTCCTTACTGTCTAAACATCATTTTGGTAGTGTAAGTAAATAGTCTGGATTGGCTAATTCAGCAGTCTAATTTCAATTTGCTGACCTTACAGAAAGAACTACTTCAATATCAAATAATATGAAAACCATTAACTGAAATAATCCAAAAATATTTGACTGCATCCTGGATTTTTTAATATGGCTTGCTTATTCATATTTATGGTGATGGTTTATGCTCTGTGTGTCTTCTAATTATGTGTAATATGAAAAGGTAGAGATTTAGATAATGCATGTTACAGTGAATGTTTTTATGCATTAATAACTTGCCTACTGACTTAAAAGTTAACGCAGACCTGATAAGTACTGACAGATCACGAGATCCTGAGAAATGGTTAGGATATTCAGGCAACACTGATGGGCAAAATTCCTAATAGCCTAGATATTTATTGACTCTTTGAAAGTTTTTCAGCCTAATTTTACTAAAATAAATATAGCTTAATGGCTTTTTGTTTAGCCTCGTCAGATCATCGTTTGCCATTCTTTTTTCATTTTAAAATGTACAAAGATGTTTTTATAAAATATTGGCAGATGGAACAGAACAAAGTCTATCCTAATATACTCTCACTCTTCTCTGACAATAAAAGCCTTGTTATCAGACACAAGGTTTTGACTCCTCAAAGGAATACTGCCTATGAGCATTGCCCATTAAACTGTGTTTAAGTTGTGCCAGTGTCATTAGAACGTCTGCATTTTGAGACAGAAACACAGTCAGTGTCTTAGAGTTGAGCAAATATGAGCATTTAAATGTGTTTTCTTTATAATGTGAAGCGTTAAGTTCATTACAGCAGGACTGTTAATGTAAATTACTCATAATGATTGCAAAACAAATGCATTTAGATCTATTGGGAAAAACAAAAGCACTGATGTAAACTGAGCATACCTGTGTTTCTCTCTCTTATCACCTGTAAATGATTGAATTAAGGATTGCATAAACTAAGACAATATATCCTGTAAACAATTTTCAATAATTCTTAGTCTGTTATGGTAGGTATATATATATATCTATATATATATATGGCAAGATGATTTACTGTTGAGCATTACTGTGTTCCTACCCTGCATCTTTTCTGCCTAACCAGTGTTGCTTGTTCCTTACAGGGATTCAGTTTCGTCTCCCTACTTCCTGCAGCGTGGATCGTGCTCAGCCACCTCCAGGTACCAGTCCATCTCCATACTCTTCTTTCCCTCCATACTAACACTTATTTTTGCAGACATGCATTTCAGTCGCAGCCATAAATCCATGGGCAAAGCAAAGGAGTGATGTCATTTTTGCTAAAAAAAAAAAAAAAAAAAAAAAAAAAAGGAATATCAGGTGAGGACCAGGTATCTGAAACAGGCTGAGAAACACAGCAGTACATCATCAAAAGGGTTGAGCAGTGTGAGACACGGTCAACTGTCAACATCCACAGGAGGTTTAAAATATGAATGAAAAAAAAAAAAAGTGGAGTGTTGGCAAAACAGCTGCTTCACTCTCACAGATGCTAATCTGAAAGTGCTGCTGAGCCTGCATCTGCTAAACTTGCCTGTTTTATAAGACCAGACATGGTTAGAGCTGCCATACCCTCTTAATCACGGCAAGGGCGCCTCCAGAATTTTTTCACAGTGGTGGCTATATGGGGGCCACTAAAAATATTGGGGTAGCACCGGACGCAGCAGTAGGGGTGACAATGGGAAATCGTTAGGGACATAAATTGTATACATAGGAATAAAGCACAAGTTCATGTTGAAACTCTTTGTAAGGCGATTTTAAATCAAAACCCTGAACATAACCTGCTTCGACCAGGTTGTGTGTTCAGCTTGAATTTACCACACACTGATTTAGCCAGGTAAAAATAGAGATACTTTCAGGACACAGGGAAATCTGATTATCTCCAACCCATTAATCTCACTTTGTAGTATTGCACTCTGGTCTGCAACCCTGTAAATGTCATGATAGTAGCAGAGGTTTCAGAGGTTAGGGATTGATTCACTTTTCAGACCTACATTTCACGAGTGCTAACAATGAAAAATAACCTCAGTCAGCCTTGAAGTAAATGAATAAATAATCAGTCCCTATCCATGATTTTTAACATTGAAAAAACTGTTGGCATGGACCATGATCGAAAACAAATATTTCCATTATATTGCATTAAATAACCTAACAAACGCATTCCTAATTTTGTATTAAAAGTATAACTAAATGTAATATTTTGTTCAGGCCTGAATTTGTTACTTATTTAAATTGTTAATTATCAATAATCAGGTGTGTAGTATTGTACAGGTTATGCTTATGATCACTACATTGAATCTAGACTTCAAATATGTCGGTCCTTTCTGATTCATTTGCAACTTATTTAATTAATTGCACGTCAAAGCTGTTATAAATTAATTTCCCGACTGACCAATCAATTAATTAGGGGAACAGTTTTTGTAACACTGCACCTCAAGCAATCTGAGGAGCTACGTCATGCACACCGTTAATTCTCCAGTGCAGATGAAGAATTTAGAAAAGGCAATAGAAACTAACTATAGAGATTGTGGTGATGATATGTAGGCTACATTGGTTTGTTTGTGGTTAAATGCAGAGACAAATCTTTGCTGTTGATGTGTCAAAATTCCTGTTCTGAATGGAAAAGCTACCTGGGTCTTCACTGTTTATTTGTAATACTACGAATGTTGTACATTTAAGCAGAGGAGCAACACAATTTTATGCCATGGCACTCAGGTCTATTTAGTCTTGGCTGCACCTACAGCGTGTGGGTTTATTTGCTGAAGTGCCCAGTGCAGCAGTGCTGAGCCAAACAATCAAATTCAAACACAGCCAGGCACAACTGACTAAACAAAAGACATGATACTTCCCTGGACTATATTAGCCAAATTTTTAACAAAAGCTGAGTATTTAGAAGAGAAACCCACTGTCACTGCCTCTAGGTAGGGGATTTATTGTGTTCAAGGACTCCTACTGGTTCTCAGTATTACTGCGTGGGACAGAGGATAAGATTAAGTTGAGAAAAACTAAAACTCTGACTTCCTGTAGTACATAAAAAAAAAATGTGACAAGACTTGTGAATGCAGAGCCACACTGATTATTGAGGCTTCTCTGTCAGTGCCAGCCTCAGATTTCCACCCTCCTCTTCCTTAGAGCTCGAGGTTGTTCCTTCCAGCCTGTTGATGAGTCACACCAAATTCATAACTGTTCTGGAAAAGTCAAAGCATAATTTTACAGTTTCCTCCATGGTTCCAACCCAAACTGCTGTGTTACAGTGAACAAGTGAATTAAACAAAGAACTTTGGTATATGTTACTGAAGGAGTTGAGATTGTTCTAACTCTGTTGAATAGTATGCTTGTGTAAGAAAAGATAAGACTTCTGCAGAGGTGTTTTATATTCAGCGCTGTCACATTTTGTCATAGTACACAATGACTCCCCACTTTAACCAGAGATTAGATCCAGAAACTCTACTGCAGTTACCTAACTTGTCAAATCACCACGCTATTATAAATGTCTTTTGTTGTGGCAGTGTCTGCACAAGGAGGGTTCCTGTTCTTACAGATTAAGAGCAGGAAGAAGTATCTAGACCCAGTATTAAGTTAAATGGCATTTGTGCTATATAAAATCAACTAACTGCAAAACAAAAAGGATCTGTAGGTTTATGCTTTTGTGTGCTTGTGATTGGAAGGACTTTGCTTAACCTCTTCAGGATCTGTAATTTCTTGATTGATGTGACGAAACTGTTAACAACAACATAAAACACAGATGTATTCACTGCAAGGGGATGAGTATGAAGGATGAGCCTGGTGCCAAAGTATATGTATAAAAAGTAGAATTTGCTATATTTTGTTTAAGAAGTCGCATATCCTGCAGGGTGATATGGTCCTTGGGAGTATACCCAAAATGCACTTTTTGTAGTTTTCACAGTGAAATTATAAGAAAACAGATAAAACATCCAGAATGCCAATGTTTTTTACTGTTACTCCATGTCACAGACATGGAATTGGTGTGTTTCTAGTGTTGAAATGAAAAACTGCATAATAATAATGGTCAAATCTGATTAAAGAAAATATTGCCATGAACAAAAATATTTTGCCTTTAGATGGATGTCAAATTGACTTGATTGCAGTTCATGTAGACACTAACTGCAAATTGTAAATTAATGTAGGCATACCATAAAATGCAACCTTAATGTAGTACTTTAAGGTAGCATTTTATAGTATTCAGGTAAAGATTTTCAGGGCTTCATTAAATATACTAAATTAATTGCTTGTTATCAGCTCATTCTAAGGGGGCCAGGTGGGCGGGACTGTTTGACTGTTAATAGAGTGACTTCACTTGTAAATGTATTCTTATTCTGAATTCAAATTGTCAGTTCAGTTCAGTACATACAGTCCTGTGAAATGAGAGATTTTACAGGGTCTACGAAGTCTTATGAAAAACTACATCCACCCTTACTCTGTCCATAGTAATTAAGAGGGTAAGTAGCAGTCAGGTGCTGCTATTTGAATGCATTTGATTATTGCTCATCAGCAGGTGTGACCAGTTGTAAATTTTGGCAGTTTGCTGGTGTAAAGCATTGTGCTGTATGTTAAGGCAAAGCCACAATCTGGGAATGATCATCCCAGTAAATTCACCCAAAGGTCAAACTGGGTAGAGCTCAGAAAAACACAATGCTACATCTTGAGTTGGAGATGAAAACCCTGTCTCTCTAAAAAGAACATGGCAGCGTGGATCTGGACAATCCACAGGACTTCTGGGGCAATGTCCTTCGGACAGATGTTTGGTCATAATATGCCACATTTGGCAAAAACAGCATATGAGCACACAAACCTCATACCAACTGTCAATTATGGTGGTGGAGTAGTTATAATTTAGGCTTGTTTTGCCTTGGCACCTTGCAGTCACTAAGTTGACCATAAACTCCTCTGTTGCAATGACCAGGTCAAAATTCAGACCTCAACCTGATAGAAATGCTGAGCATAAAGAGAGCTGAGCATAAAGAGAGCTGAGTATAATCAAATCCAAACACGATGCCTCAATGAATTGAAGCAACGTTGTTAAGAAAAGTGGCCCGAAAGTCCTCCACAACATTGTGAGAGACTGATGAAATCATAGAGAAAATTATTATTTCAAGTAATTGATGTTGAAGATGACTGTAAAAGTTATTGAATCATGGGGTGTACTTCGTTTTTCACAGAACTGCTAGATTCCTGTGAAAACCTTTTTTTCACATGACTGCAGGTGAAAAAAATAAGCACTTGTCAGTGGGTTTTACAGGACTATAGCGTTATGCTTCACAGGTGAATGCCTCTCACAGATATTCCAACTGAAAAACAACTCTTATAATGATATTACTAAAATAAGGAAATTCATAAAACATACATACAGTACATGTCAGAGACACACGTAAAATTTCATTCATAAAATTTCCAGACTAACAGATGGAAAACATGGAAAGTACAGTAAAGTCTACATTGGGGACATCTGGTGTCCAGTAGGTGTTACAGCAATATGTTGTGATTCCCCCTCCCCACACTGAAGTAGGACAATACTCTCAGAAGCCTATTAAGTGGTGACAGTGTAAGTAGAGTCAGCGAATTAAATGTCTTCACTAAACAACGTTAACCTAAGCAAATTATTCAATAATTTTGTCCAGTGCATAACTGTAAATGTGAGGGCAACAAATCTGTTTCCAAATGTCAGTTCATTCAGACAATCATGATGTACATGAATGAACTGCAGCACAGCTGTGTAGTGCTGACTCAACTTACAGGCTAATTTCTTTTTCATTACACTGTTGTGGGTGTACAGTCATTACATCTGCAGCAAACTATATGATTGCTCAGTTATTTGGTTATTCAAAAACAACACAGTGGTCATTCCTACTCTTACAAGAATGTTGGAGACTCGGTGAAGACCACCATTGGGCAAAATTAACAGCTTTGATAACTTTAAATGTACTTTTGCATTTAGAGACTGTAACACAAACAAAAATGCAGATTTATTCTAACAACTTCCTCAATGCATTAGCATTTTTTGTCTTTAGTAGGTCTGTAATAGGGTTGGGAAAATGAACATTATTCAACATATACAGTAGTATTGCTTGCTTTTGTGCTAGGTTATTGATGCAAATATTTTCTGTTACAGACAGGCAGACTCTCTCTTACAAGACTGTATGCTTTCTTTTTAATGTAAATTATTCCAAAATGAATACAGTTAAACTGAAATGAAGTTGCAATACAGCTGAAGAAACAGAAGGAAACACGATGTGAAGAACAAACCAGAGAGCTAATTGTGTTGTGAGTTAGCCGCTGATTCCTAGTCTGTACACAACAGCTGTAACAAATAAAAGAAGGTAGTTATGGTAGCTGACCTCAACTAGCAATGTAGTTAATTTAATTTGAACTCCAAAATGAGTGACTAAACCATACTTCACTAAAAATGTAGAAAATAACAACTTTCACCAAACAAGAGTAGGTTATAGGATCGTTGCTGCACATCCGCCTTTACTTGACAGGTTTTAGCTTACTAACCAAAAGCAGATGCAGTGGATTTAAATGACAAAATAAATGTCAGACACTTACATGATTTTTGCAGTTTATAATTCCAGCACAACATCCAACATTTTCCCTTTTTCCCCTCGTCTCCATAATTTTCCTTGTTCCTTTCACTGCTATCAAGGCTGCTAGCTTGTTTACTGGCTCTTAGCTGTGGCTAGCTTTAGCTTTACCCACTTTGCCTTTGTTAGCCTCTTTAAATTTCCATGTTTACTGGGGTTTTGCTGTTATGAATCTTTTCATGGTGGAGCCCTCCACCAGGAGCTGATAATGAAGAGGTGATGACGAGGTGATTGTTACATTATTTGTTTATGCATTACTTATTTATTCATCCTTTTGATTACATTTAAATGCAATGTTCCATTTTTACATTATACAATCAAACTGATCTCAAGATTCAGTCTTAAGTCAGTTTGTTTCATTGGAAATGTCTACTTTGCAGTATAGAAGAAAGAAAGTATACTTTATTGATCCCCTTGAGGAAATTCCTCTCTGCATTTAACCCATTCACTCAGTGAAGCAGTGGGCAGCCATTGGGCGCCCGGGGAGCAGTGTGTAGGGACAGTACCTTGCTCCGGGGTACCGCAGGGTAGCCGTTCAGCGGATTTGAACCACTGTATGAGTGGCCCATTTTTGCTAAATAGTTGGTCCAGTTGACTTAAACACTGCTCATATGAAAAAATGTGGAAGAGCTGATGTTTCAAACAGTGTCCCTGTTAAGTGACGGCTGTGTGCAGACTCCAGAGACAAACTTAAACCGAAACAGCTTTAATGTTGAACTCAAACATAACATAACTGGAAAAAATCAAAATAAACTAACACCGGCGGACTGACAAAACACACAGCAAAATAAACGGTACATCGCAACACGGACACAGAGAAACACAGGGCTTAAATACACAGAGGGAGCAATCAGGGAATGAGTAACAGGAGGGAAACACAGCTGGGGCAAATCAGGCCTAACGAGACAAAGGAAGCAAAACCAGACACATTAACATGAGACATGGACTTTCAAAGTAAAACAGGAAACATAACAGAGACTGAACAAAAGACACAGACTCACATGCAGTCACTACAACAGAGGGAACAGAGACGTGGGACCAGGGCAGACAGGGGAGACAGCAACTAAGGATTACACAGACAGAAAACCAGAACACTAAAACTCTAACCAAACCCCACCCAGAGAACCTTAACTAAGAATAATCCTAAAACCCGTAAAGCAAAGCTAGAATATAATGAAATAACAAAATCAAAGAACCAAAAACATAAAACACTGGGTCAACGACCCAGGGACCCTAACAGTCCCAAGTGATTTACCAAAAAGTTACCTGTAGTAGCGCTGTATATATAAATGCATACATTTAGGATTGATGTACAAGAAATAAAATGGGATTTGCTTCACATATCTTTGAAAATATTGTGAGGAAAATAAGAATTAAACATTTGACTTGGTATAGCTGGTAATAATAGATATTATAGATGAGATTAGTGAAGACTGTTGATCTATTTAAGTTCATAGTCTTACTATTAAAGGCTACTGTGTAAACGATCTGTACTTTATATTTATTTAACTTCCTTCTAATGTAGTGTTATGTTCAGTTGTTGGATTAAAAAGAAATCTTCAAAAATAAACAGCCAATGAGCATCTTTAATATTTTATTTAAAAATCTAATTAATGAACTGACTTGAAAATGATACATTGGCGACATAATTGTGCCAGTAAACAAATACAGACAGTAGAGTAGAGACATTCAGACATTTGTATCATTCAGCTTGTTTCTGGTACCAAGCAATCTGTGACATTTTCAGCTTCTTTCAGTAAGTCAAACAAATCCAGGATGCAAAAATAGAAAGCTTTGAGTTGCATGCTGTCTGAGTCACTGTGCTCTTTATATTTTGGTACTCACCTGCTGTGTCTTACAGAACTCCAGTTGGAAGGAAGTCAAATCTGTGACTAGGTTTGGTTGAACAGGTTTCAGTGTGGCTTTTTATTACATATTGCATGTAATTACCTGCAATCAAAAGTTGATTGTGTAATTTTGCTATGTTAGAAACAGTCTGCACCATTCTATGTCAGTGTAGAGTCAACATCTGAAGCTTGCTATGAAATTCCTGCAGTATGCTACTGAAGACTAGCATATTTTTCTATGTGTGCCTGAGTGGGAGATGTTCAAAGTGCATCAAAAGCGCTGCAGAGGTGAATGAGTGATGCTTCAAATGGGGCACAATGGCTTTTTCTCGATATAGCTTATAATTATTCAAGCTGTGATTTTCTCAGTCTTAATCTAGTCAGTGGTTGATTTAGGGCTTTGTTTGGTGGTAAAAAAAAAAAATACCAGTTTCGAGGGCCCATTAAACACAAGCTTAATTTATGGAGCAACCTTTGGATTTAGGCTTTAATTAACTAGGGTTTTACAGATAGATGCCATTATAAAATTAAGGAACATGATTACTCTCTGGTATGTATAAAACAATATATAATTAAAGAAAGATTTCACTAATAGATCCAGTCAGGCTAAAGTAGGTAGCTGTAGGGAGTTTCATAGTATTTCTACTTGAATTGTATTACTAAAACAAAAACCAGAGCATCCAATTAATAAAATGTAAAATGTATATATGCAAACAAATTGATAGTATCTACATTTACCATGGAGATCATACTTGAAAGAGGATATTATATATATTTAACTAAATTGAACTATGCTTTTTCTGCCAAAACTATTTTCCTTCAAATTGAATGGCATCAAAATTTCTATGCTGAACAACTAAATCTTAGGTGTTTTAATATGCCTTTGCAAAGCAAGTGAAATTGGTATGTTTCCAATTCTGCAGTGAGGTCCATCTGGATGGATTACCATCAAATTCTCATTTGCACTTGAAAGACCAAAAATCTTCCCATAATCCTTCATTGCACTTTCCAATAAACACAGACATATTACAAAGCTGCTGATGCTTTCTACCTTAATGACATTTCCCTCCCTTTAAGTGCCCTAATGCCTAATCTCTCATCAAGCTATGAAGCTTCTCTATCACACACTCGTCAGCTTTGGCCACATTTATCATTCTCATGTTATTTTTTGTTTTTATCCTCTACCCTTGTCTTGCCTTGTCCTCGTCCTCTCATCTTGCTTGTGCTATCCAGCGGTATCATATCCTCCCAGTTACAAGAAGACTCCACCTCCTGTGCCCCCGCGCACCACCACCAAGCCTCTTATCTCTGTAACAGCCCAGAGCAGTACAGAGTCCACCCAAGATGCCTACCATGAGGGCAGGCATCCACGGGGTGGTCTGTGGACCACAGACAGTCTCGGCCGTCCCATCTACAGCTCCATGGACAGCCTGGACAGCACCAAGGCGGTTACCATGGCCATGGAGTCAGCAGCAAGCAAGAGGCATGCGTCGTTAGGCAGCCACACCTCGGTCCAGACATGCGACAAAGCAGTGCTGGTGTCCAAGGCTGAGGAGTACCTCAAAACCCCACGTTCCTCTATTGGGATACAGGTAACAACATAACCGCGGGCCACTCACTGCCTCTTTCGCCTCTATTGCTAAACCCCACCTCCCTCCACTCCCCTGATTACACCAAGTGCCAGGAAGGTCCCATTTGTCTTCTTTTGTTCTGTCCTGGCTGAAAGGCTACTTCTCATTTTGATAAACAGATCGCCAATGTGAATCAGACATTCAGTATAATCTCCACTCTTTGCTCTTAATCGTATAAACTTGGGTCATGATTCAGAGAATGAAAATTACGATGGCATTTTGGCTTCTATGATTTTTGTCAAAATGTATAAATAACTGATCTTTTTTAATACATCTCTGGGCACAGAGACATTAAAATGCTGAACTGACAAACTACAAGTGTCCGCACTAGTTCAATGTGTCATTTTTCTTTCATTGTGACTAATACCCAAATGTGCATGGCTATGGAGTCTTGTTGACCTTTACATATGTCAAGACTACCGAGGGCTTATTAAAAGAACCCAGCAGCAAGGATAAATTGGTGATTTATGTTTTTCACCTCTTGAACACACCTTCACTACCGGCTGAGGTAACTCCCATCATGTTACTGCTTAAACAAGGAGGTCTGCTGTGAGATAAAGAAGGTCTCTGTTTTATGTACTGTCTGGCTTAGCTAGCCCTGAAGGCAAGTGTCCACATTCCACTCCATTGCAAGAATTCCTTTGCAGACTGTATTTATTTTGGACCTGTGGGCATTTCCACATATTTTCTATGAAAATGTGTCTACCAGGACTCTAATGTAAACTAGATGATTTTCTATTGCATAGTTTGTTGCTCAAGAAGTGCCAAACTCCTGGATAAAATTTAACTTTTTCTGGGACCTGTGCGAATTTCTAGGGGTAACCAATTTTATCACATAGATCATGTACTGTAATTACAAACAGGTCATATATATCCCTATGGTGCTTTTTGTATCAAAAATTAGGCACATTTGAGCTCTAAGTTCTACTTATGGCACTTTTATGGCATTTATGACTCAGTTACAGTTCTGGCAAATGTTGTGTGGGTCAAATATGGCAAGAAAGTCATGGTGTGGCAGGTGTTTTGTAGGCCAGAGATATACCAAATCCCACAGCACACCTGACATTTAGATTGTGTAAAATGACTCTTAAGTCAGGCTTACACTGAGTCAATGCCATCAAGCTCAGTGTGGTAAATAGAAAACTGCAGATCTGAATCAGCCAATCTATCAATGATGATGTAAATTGATAGTGTAAAGCTACTTTTACACGTAAGTTGGTTTTTTTTATACTTGGCAGTATGTAACAAACATCTCAATGTCAAACTTCTTTTAGGTGCTAAAAATGTGCATCTGTACTTTGGCGTGTCTGTAAATTTCAGTGTTCTCTTGTTGCATTTATCAGGTGGAAACTGTGACAGACTCTGAGACTGACACTAAAGGCCTTCCTCAGTTCCATTCTATAGGGATCCAGGTGGAGGATAAAAAACGGTATGTAGCAGAGATGAAGGAAAGTGTCACAGTGCATTTTTTAAAATCTCAGTTAGAGTCTTTACATTTCATTGTGTTCCTGGTAGGCATGGGAGGTTCAAGCGCTCCAACAGTGTGACCACTGCAGTGCAAGCAGACATGGAGTTGGAGGGATTTCCCTCCATGGAGGATAAAGGTTTGCAGTTCGGTGGTGCCTTCGGCCGCCACTCTGAGCCCAGCACGCCAACACAGTATGGAGCGATCCGTACAGTGCGCACACAGGGCCTTTTCAGTTACAGGGAGGACTACCGGCCTTCCAGTGGGCCACCCAGCCCGCAGCCTGAACCCTGGCTGGTTGAACCCAGCCTGGAGAGCACCGACACAGGCCGAGTAACCCCCCTCCGCAGGGATGGCAGCTGGTTTATGCAGCTCCTTCACAACGAGACCAAGCGGTTGGAGGCATGGTGCAAAGAGATGGAGGCAGAGGCAGAGGAGCATGACCTGTCAGAGGAGAGTGAGTGTACTGATGGAAAGGACACTTTTGTCAAATCCAGTGCTTTTGTTGCGGGATTTCAATGCTTTCATGACATTTACTCTTTGAATGTTCTTTTTGCAGACTTTATAGCAGTATAGCCAAGCCGAACATTCTCAGTAATAGCTGTCATTGAAAATGAGAATACTGAATCGTGACAGGCATTTTGTGAGCAGATTGGATTCTTGTGAATGACCGAAAGATATTGCTCACCATGTTGGCTTTTGCCAAGCTGTCTGTAATAAAGCACTCTCTCTTTCTCCCTCTCTCTGTGCTTGTGTTCGTGTCCAGTCCTAGGAAAAATCCGAAGTGCAGTTGGGAGTGCTCAGTTATTAATGTCTCAAAAGTTTCAGCAGTTTTACTGGCTATGCCAGCAGAATCTGGTGAGTACTGCATGTCTTTCAGACAAAATCCCTGTTTCAACATGCTGTACAAAAACACGCAAAAGGTCAGGGGTAAACTTGTTGATTGGCTCCTTTTTCTCAGCGCTTTGAGAAGGCGCTTGGCCTGACGCTGCACTTGTGTGCTTTCCAGAAATAGACCACAGAGATCGATAGCGAAGCAGTCTCTCTGCAGCTATTGACCCCGCAGTAAACGAAAGGGGAATTCCAATAGGAAGCAGCACCTGTGTTGAGGCTATCCATTAATGCACAGAGACAGCAGTCTGAATGGGAACTCAGAGTTTTAGTAATGGACTGCCACGCTGTCTCACTGTTTAGCCATCATGTCACGTCTGCTGGAAACTCATACCTTTTCTAATGCAGACTTTACAGAGTCAGCATATATCAAAAGATTGCAGAATCGTAAATGGGGATGTTTCTGCAGATACACAAAGAGGCAGCCTGAAACTTAATCACCTCTTTATAAAACGTAAATAATTAAAACAAAAATGTAAATGAAATGCAAAACCTTGTGGAGGTGGCTGAAATCACCTCTCTCACTGCCTTCTGCTGGGTTTTTTTTTTTTTTGTCTCTTAACTCACTGTGTTGCTCTTCTTTAGATGATTTTGGGCCACTCTCTCTCCCTCTCTCCCCTCAGATAATAGGATGATGAATTAAGTCTAACATTGGTAGTGACAAGCTTTAGATTGCCCTGAGCTTTCAGACGTGTCTGAATGGGAGAATGGATCTGTTTCACCTGCTGGATGGAGGAAGAACTGCATTTTGTATCTATAAAAAGCTCTGAATTTGCTTTTGAAGTTTGGCTTGACAGACCTTTTCTTGATGTCAGCGCACACTCATTCTCTGTGTGGTGTCTGAAGTAATGAGGCTCTATCTGCTTAATTTTGTGAGCTGTGATGTGCAAGCAAAATCCAGATGTGCATATATGTAGAAATACAGCAGCAGTGTGTACCAGGTTTCTCTTTAACATGAAATGTAATCTTCTTAGATAATAATTACATTACGGTACTGTCCGAACACAGAAACGAAATCTTTCTGGAAAAACACTCAGGCAGGCAAAATCGATGCTGTTACAAAAAGAAAAACATAACAATTTTGTAACAGTGTATCTCTTTGCTTCCGTGTCTTCAGCATTCTGCACATATGCGACTTGTTTATCACAGTAATCGCTTAAGCAAATAATGGAGAAAAAACAATTCTCAGAAACTGCCAGCTGAGGTCATGAGCCAATGTTGGTGCTATACTGCCACACAGTGGTCAAAGTGGTGAGGTTCAAGTGTAGCTTTGAGTAACGGCAAGTCCCAGAAACAAGGTGGACTTTTGAACACTGGATTTGATGCACATCTTTATAAGCCCCTCCGTCTCTTTAGGACCCCAGTGCCATGCCCAGACCCACATCTCAGGACCTGGCTGGATTCTGGGACCTTTTGCAACTTTCCATCGATGACGTCACTGCCAAGTTTGATGAGCTGCAGCAGATCAAGAGCAACCAGTGGCAGCTGGTGGAGAGCCCAGAGAAGAAGGTTAAACCATTTGCTCTTTTCCTATGCTTCCACACACTTATAATAACAAGTCTTAATGGGCTCCAGATGAACTCACTCAGCTTTAGAGAAAACTACACCAACAGCATTTCTGTTCCATTTTTAGACCCTGGACCAGCAGGAGGTTACAAAGCATAACAAAGGAGGCGGCACAAGTTAGATTAGAAAGCTAGTGGCATCCTCTAAAAGTGACTTACATTTTCATATTATCACTGAGTATCTGGTTCAGGGTGTTAAAGTGAAATTGAATGGCTCTTAAGCTTTTAGTAATTTCATCCAAGTTGCTTGTGAAAAATTTATCAGCTCCTAATGTTAATGGGGAAAAACACTTGGTGTGAGTTTCCTTAATGTCAGACTAAATCACAGGCAGTAAGATCGTGCAGTTTTCACACAGCATTTAAACACACAAATTACTTTGACTTTTTATCACAACATCTGCTTACTGGCTTTTTCAGGAACACGATAGATCAAAGCCACTTTTATTTTGAAAGCTCTAACACCGTCGGACAAGCATAAAGCAAAAGTTTTCCTCCGACAGGCGCACAAAGCACAGGAGCAAATATGCAAAACAAAATCCAAGGCGTGAATAATGATCGTGGTGACATAAAAGGCATTTTAGTCATTAAACCATCCAGTTAAAGCACTTTCACCACACCATAAGTGAAAGCGCACTTACACGAGTGGCGCTCATAGACGAAAGAGCCGCATTTGGAAGCACATTTAAATGGTAATGTGTTTTTAGAGATCGACAGCATCCTTCAGGGCACTTGGATAATTATCTTCATGCTTGCGAGGAGTTGTTTGCCTCCAGCAGTTAATAGACACGTTGCAATCTCTATGACGCCGAACCCTAGCGGTGACACAGATGCTCTGCCTTTTCACCTTCGAGGCAGGCTCCATTTAAACCAACACCGGCTTCCCAAACAGCCGCAAAAAGTTCACCCTGCAATCAGACTGTGTATCAGTGCGATTAAATGTTCAAAGGTGAAGATTTTCGATGACACAATCAGTATGAGTTTCCAGATTTTGTGTATTTGTGCAGCTTATGGACCGCAAGAGGCAGATTTTTGCATTTTTAAGCATCCAGCAGCAGTGAGTAATTAATGAGTAATTCTGCTGCTGAATTTTCATTTTGTAGCCAATGCTGTTGGTGTAAACGACTTCTCTTCTCGAGTTAGACAACACGCTGTGATACCGGACTCTTTCCAATTTAAATTTGCTCAGATACCAAGAGTCTATATATTAAAGCCAAATTTAGCCCGAAATCAAGTCTTCATAGTGAATAAAGGTGTTTTAAGCATTTAATTAATTGGCCCCATATTAATCAACATTTATCATCTCTGCCCAATTTCATTCTACATTTGTCCACTGTGGCAGTCTTTTATCTCCTGGTTAATATTAACTTTTCCTCATAACTCTCAATTACAAGTTCTTGCTCTAAGCTCAATAAGAAACCCCTTTGTGTTTTTCCATAATGCAATCACGTACAACAAGCAAACTAAATAAAAAGTATACATTTTCATGTTTTGGGCTGTTTTTTTATTTATAATCAGATTTTTTTTCTGTTTTCTTTGCACAGTTTACTTCCACGTCCCAGCAGAAAATACCATAATAAATATCAGTTACTGGGCTGTTATCTTGTTTAGTACATATTAAGAGTGAACCAACTTCCAGTTGTTATGTCATTCTGTGTCTTAAGGAGCGGAAGTGGCCACCCCCTCTGCCAAAAAGGTCAGTCAAGGGGCGTGGTGGTGTGATGCGGGAACGCTCTCTGGACCTTCAGGACCGCCAGCGACAGGAAGCCCGCAGACGCCTCATGGCTGCCAAAAGAGCAGCTTCTTTCAGACAGAACTCGGCCACAGAGAGGGCAGACAGCATCGAGATCTACATCCCTGAAGCCCAGACGCGGCTTTGAGGTCCACGGATTCATCCTCAGCTCCCCTCGTGCACCTCCACTCGACACCAGCACGTGGCGCCACATTCAGCCCCCTTGTGCTGTCAACTATTGTTGCTGCTCATTCATGTTTCCATCTGTTGTAATACCCTGGGTTGTCTCTACTGAATCTACACTAAGCAAATATTTCACCTGTAGAAACCAAAAGTGTCTCCAGAACAGTAAAAACTGGACAACAGATCATTTCCCTCTTGTTTTTTTGGTCATTTGTTTGGCTAATGATGATCTTGGGCCAGCTGAATTGGTGATGATAGTATGGTGTTTATGCACGGATGTGGATATTTAAAATAAGAACAACAACAGCAAAAAAAAAAATTAAAATCAGTTACATTTCTGCCACTTGGAGCGGCTAAAACAGAAATTTGCTTAGTGTAGTTTTAAGACCACAGGGGATTTTTTTTTTTCGCCCCCACGAGTTCTGCACCATGACGATTAGTTTATAAAGCCTAAAACGAACATTCATCCTTACTGCATCACATCACTGTTTTTTTTTATTTTCCACACCAGCATTTCCTTATACCTCTTTTCCACTTATACAGTGCCAGTGCCAGTTCTGCCTCGGTGCCTTTTGAGAACCAGCCCACATTTTGACAGGTCTGAAAAAACGGCCACTACATCATAGAAGTCACAGCAACAGAAAAGCCTTTGTGGACAGATACGCATATGCATATGCCAATTATTGGTGGATTTAATGCAGTAGCCCCCTCCCATAGCCACCGATGGTTCCAGCTTTGGGATAGGCAATTTTACGGCACCTCTGCTTCTTTGGAAATGGACGGAACCAGCTGAAGATTAGGCAGCTGGACTGGGCGGGTGGAAAAGGGGTACTAGACTTTTCCATCGTTCCCATTCTTGCACTGTGTTGAGGGTGATGTTATACAGCACTTGCCACATTTAAAAGAAAACACAAAAGTGCAACTTTTTTCTCACCAGCAACAGTGGTCTTGGGCTAAAGCAACCTGTGCGGGGGTGGTTTCCCATAATGATGTCACTTAGCGCGATTGACGAGCCTCTGAAAATCTGTAACTGCTGAAAGAAATGCAGGGGAAGTCGTTTCTTCAACGCTTCCCATCAAATTTGAAGTCGGAATAGATGGAGAGTAACAAAAGTTTTGATAGGGTGTTTGGGACCCTTCATATCGATCCAACAATACTTTTCCATGTTTAATCAGGCATGCTGCAGCTGCTGCCCAGTGTTGCTGACTGAGATCTAAAAATATGACTAAAACTCCATCATTTCCACATCCATTCATGTTCATCAAGACTAGACAATTCTACGACATGTAGGTTATTTGCTGCTGGATGCATTTCCATTGCAGAAAAAATATGAATTATTAACAAAACAGAGTTTTACATGGCCCGAAAGAGGTGACTGTATCAAAAAAAAAAAATGCATTTTGCACCTTATAATATACATGTTTGTATTTCCAAGGGAAATGTAGTTTATGAAGCTCATGCGATATTGTTGCAGTTGAATTGCAAGGACAGATATGGAAAATTTACTACAGAATTTCATACAGTATTACTATATAGGTCATAGAAATTGCACCTTTTTGTCATATTGTTTCTTTTTTTTCTTCTTAATGGCATTACTGCCATCGCATAAGGAAATATTGTAATTCTAACACTTTTACTTCTACTTGCAGTATCTATCATATGACCAACGTCACAATCTACAGTAAACATTTAGTATTTCTAGTTAAACCTGTTGTTGGTTGATTTGACAATGTATCTGTCCTAATGACTAAAAGGTGTTCTTTAGCTAACAAACCATTTCTCATAACTCACTGCATCTGACCTTTTTACCAAGTGGCGCATAATGAAAGCCCTTCTGTTCTTATTTTGATCTGCTCACATAGTCTAGGAAAGACAGGTGCAAATGACACTTTAACAATATTCAGTTACTATAGTAAATGGTGCTGCTTTTTACTCTAAAACTGTTGTCCTTTACCCAGTCCTATGTGCACGCACACACACACACACTCAAGGACTTTTTAAACAGAGATTTATTAATATGGTGCCCACCGTCTCTCCGATGACTTGTGGTAGATTGTGACTTTAGAAACGATCATCTTTGCAATGCTCTTGCCCTCAGTGATGTAAATGTGGAGAAGGTACGATGGCTTAACTTCCTTTCGAAACTGCAAAGAGGTCAGGGATATCTGTTTATCGCATGGGAGAGATTACAGGCTTTGACATTCCACCAACCTCAAGCTAAAATCTAATACCGTATGCCCGCCTTGAGCCAAGGGCATACTGCTATAGCTGAAAGTACATAATAATACGCGTCCATATTTTATACTCCCTGACACCTGCGATGCAAGCCCATTCATCCTCATTTGCCAATCTGAACCCCAACTAATGAATACGAATGTTGTTATGGCCACAGGAATGGCACTCAGTAGGGGAGAGCAGTCTGTGTACCATCAGTACTTCTGGGAGGCAGTGAAACATGCTTGTTGTGAGGGATCGTGGGTGTACATCAGTGCTAGAAGACCCTACCTTACCAGATGGCCTTAACCAAAACAGTCGTGAATGTACAGCCTCCGATGATGCAAAAAATAAATAAATAAATATAAAACTAAGATGAAATTCTAACTAAATTGGACAGGGCTGAAGTCACTCTCAAACCTTTTACTTTTTTATTGTATATTTGCTCATCTCAAATCGTTTTTTTTTTTCTACTTAATGTGACTGATTTAAAGACGAAACAGGGTGTGATAAAATAACAGGAGACACAGAGAGAATTACATCCTCCTATGCTTTTATCAAATTTGCGATATCACAAATGTAGTTCACAGTTATTCCAGAAGTGTGAAGTATTGCTGAAAGAAAAGCGCACACTTATCTGTGAAAACTGAAATCGTAGTAGAGCCACTTCACACATGAATGAATATTATAAATTAAGTAAAATAGGATTTAATGAAAGCAGGATGTTTAAAGTAGGCAGATTTATATAGAAAGTAACTGTTTCGCATTTAAACTGAGTAATAAAGGTAATCTGCCATCTAGCTCCTTGTTATCCACATTTGAGTTCAGTGATTTAGTTGATCTAAATGCATATATATCCCTGCAGGCTGTGTGTCCCACTGTAGAACAAAGAAGAAGGTACAGTAATTTCATCCAAAAGACGACAAGGACGGCTTTAATTTCCGAGGAATCAATACAATTTACAGCCAATAATAACACACGGCTTTTAGTGTATTGCAAGAGGGAGGATCCAGTACGTCCTGACTGGTCAGATTTATTTTCCCCTTTTCAAAGAGGAAATCGTTTTTTCATTCATATCCATTTATTTGGGGCTTTTCTTTTTTAATTCATACCGTTCTGTAGTGTTTTTGTTTTGGGTTTTTTGGGGGGTTTTCAGAGCAGTTGGTTGGTGGAAAGGTGTGGTCTGTCTTTAATTTATTGATGCTATACAGGCTGCAGTTTTCATCCAGCCCGTATTATCACACAGAAACCTTTTCTTTAGCCTCCTTGCTTGGGTTGCATTTGAACATTTTGTCCATTTTTCACATAATATTACAATTTACTACTTTATAATCATTCATACAATTTACCATCTTAGCGTTCATTGCCGTATGCATATAATACACGGTTAAGCGCTTCAATGAGCACGTATATTCTCAATTATTACCCCCAAATCTAAGAACTGTGGTGATTTTGTTCATCACTCTTCATTTATTTCGTCTTGGGGGGGCTGTCTCCATTTCCATCCTTTAATATCATTTCCCTAGCATCTTCACTCAGTTTTGGTCTGTAGGTTTGGTCTGTTGGTTTAGAAATATGAAAGTCCTCATTTATTTCACTGGTTCCTCCCTAAGTTGCGCCCTTGGAATGATTGGCGACCGTTTCTCTGAATTATGACAACCGTTGATGGGCTATTTTAACAATCCAGCTGCTCTTCCACCTGACTGAAAGTCATGCAAATCAAGTCTACTTCCCACAGACTGAATACTGTGATACCATCTTATGTAGTACTTGATGATATTTAAAGAACTACCTATTGAAAAGAAGCTTTTTTATTTTTATTTGTTGTCCTTTTGTAGCTTTGAGTTACTGTTGCTTGCAGGCTTTTCAACCAGTAAGCTTGAGTAAAATCTACAAAATGACTTTGACGCTTTCTGAACTCGCCACCTTAAAAGAATGGCTTAAAAAAATAAACAGGATTCAGAGTAACGGCCACACGGCATGAATGGGAGGGATGTTTTTGCACCAACTGCATGTCAGGAAGGCTAACGTCAGAAACAAAGATGTCCTCAAGAGTCGCAGGGATGCTAATATAATATATTGTAAGTGACAATAACGGCACACATGGTCAAAAATTTAGCTAAAGTGTGTGCTATTGTGGAATAATGCAGGGCTATTGTGTAAACATGGTACCATTTACCCTTCATTTGCATACCATTTCCAATGAAACACATAATATTTGTCTTTCACGTCTCCCAGTTTTTCCCATCATGCTATGAGGGGCTTAGAAGTCTGGCAACTATGTATATGACAAATCCTCAGGTGCCTTAAAGTTTGATTCACATAGGACTGAGTGAATGTTTTTGGGTTGAAGTATGGAAAAAAAGACTGCAACCTGCAAAGGACTGCACCACTAAGAGTGCAAGTTTGTCTGAAATACCTTTACAAGGGCTGGATACCGGGCTGGGTCGGGCTGCAGAATTTCAAATGGATTTACATTTATATTTGACTGATTTAGAGGTCCTATTGTAATAAACTTCAGCACAATACAGTCTAGAGGGTATCAAAGGAGGATTTGCTATTTTGTTTTCCACATTTTCTTTGACAAAGATTCATAGTGACTCGTTTTTATGACATGAGATGAAAAACACACACAAATTGCAGAGAACCAGTGGATATGACAGTGTAAATGCTACACGTCAGAGTGTATGTCACATCCATTTCTGCTAATCATAAAAGATTACTTATTTAATAAGGTCTTTCTTTTAATTCCTCCTAGCTGTGATATTGTAATCTTGGGATGTTTCTGCCATTCTTGGCATTTACGTCTACAGAATCGGGAGACTGACAAAACTTGACCAGCCAAAAAAATAAAAAGGGCAATAGTGTTTTCATACAATGACAGGCAGGCTCACCTACAGCTATTTACCTCATGGTTTAGTGTTTTAGCAAACATGGTTTTAGTAGGAGTAGTTGTGATCTCCACAGGAACACTTTGTCACGCCTGTGTACTATGCAGCAGTATTTCTGTGGGGCGGCAGAGCTTGCAGGCCCTGGTGCAGATCATCTTTCCTTCGCAGAGAGCCGAAAGCACCACGTTCATTGAGCTGTGCACCGCAGGAGCTAAAACACCACGCTGTCATCGCCATCCAGATCCTTTACAGCTCACTCCTCATGACTCAGTTAAGGATTTCTTTTATGCTGATTTCAAAATAATATAGTGTAAACAGAAAGTCGACTAACTTTCAGCAACGTTCTAAAAAAAAGATTCACGTGAATGTGACGAGTCAGAGTTACTTTGCCGGGGTCACGTTTCCCTGTTTAGTCGCTATTCAAGATAGCTGTTATGCTTTACAGCGTCCATATTTTAGCCTGACATCATATAACAGCTGTCCTGAAGTTAAACCTCAGAGAAGTCTGTATAGGTGCTGAATCAACCAACGCTTCTCCTTGTACTTTTATTTTTCCTGAATTTGCTTTTTTTATTTACTTTTTTTTTTGGTTGTTGTTTTATTCTGACAATCAGCAAACACCAAAAGCATCAAAATGCACACACGCATACACACTACAACAGCAGTGTCATTGTATATCCTCAAGATAGCGCCCTGAGTTGCCCTTCTTCATATCTTGGGGATCTTTAAAGTCTCTTTGGACTCCATTTAAAATATCGTTCAATTTTTCTTTTCTCCTTGTTTCCGATACAGTTGCACTGCAAAGATGTCTTTCTATTGCTTGCTCTCTCTTCTCGTAAAACCACGTGACTTTCGATGACATCAGAGCGTCGCCCTGTTGTCGCAAGCCAAACAACCGTCGAGTCACTGTTGAGCACGTTTCACGTCATGCTCCCACGTGTGAGAGTGTGTCTGCTCTTCAAGCAATAAGCCTTATTTAAATATTAGGGATAACTTTTCATTATCTTCTTTAGATTTTTTGACACATCTGTGGGAAGTCGTAGGGGTTTTGGTTCAGCAGCAACCGGCCTGACACTGAGGAAATACACTTTAATGTAGAAAAGTTGACCTTACCACTTTCATTCGTGTCTCCTTTGAAGATGCAAGCAGTTGCTTAGCTTGACCACATAGACTCGAAACAGGGGAAAGAATCTGTGCATGTGAAAAAATAGACTAAAACATCAAACTACAAATATTTGCTATGTTGGTTTGGAATATGACAAGATGTCTTTAGGGGTGCTTGCATTAAGATTTTATGACCTTTAGAGAGACACGGATTGTCTGTTCCCCACAGTCTTTATGCTAAGATAAGCTATCTGCTACCTTCATGCTACCTATCTGCAACGGCAACGAAATAGCTAAAATTGATTCATTCAGAGATCACTCAGAACATTGATTTAAATCCAAAGTGATATAGGTGCTCAACAACCTTGCATTTATATAAGAGCAGAATCAGAATGCAACCAGGGGAGTCGAGTTAACTCAGTGGTGTAGACTGACCTTTTATCTCTGTATTTAGAAATTTCACATCAATTGTTTGCAAACCCTCCCCAATCCATCTGACAATCAGTCTGAGTCAAATTGCAGCTGTTTGGAGACTGGCTGCCTCCCGCCAGGCAATCACCTTGCGGTCAGTTGTGAGTAAGAGTGCAACTTCTTGTAGTCAATCTCCAAATACAAAAAAAGAATCAACGCAATCAGTGAGAAAACTAGGAGGATGTCGTCCTGTTTTCCTCTATAGTGACTGAGCTGTTCTACAAACTTGAGAGTGGTACCGCGCTTTTCATCAAACTCTCTTAAACAGTCTAATAATGAATGTCTAAGGCAGCCTTAAAGGTTACGTATTTCCTCTTATGTCATTCAGGTTGTTTTTATTGCTCATTTCAGTGTAACCTCAGTGCCCATCTGTATTATGGGTATGAGTCATAATAAATCATCTGATCAGCTCTAAATATAGACACTTTCAAATTTGTACATTGTCCTAATAGGGTTTTGTTTTGTTGAGTTTCTTTACATTTATGTTGTTTGTTTCTTTCTTTTTTTAGTGTCTCATGTTTTATGAGGAGAGAGAACAGTCACTTTTGTTTGCCTTTGGTGGAGAAATGTCTTGTATTGTGGCTGTGGGTAGAAAACATTTAAAAAAAAAGGCCTCTCATGGGTTTTTGGAAAGTGACATGAGAAAAATTTCATAGCATAAAAAGGTTTGTGGTTAGCTTAAAACTATTTTGAAATTGTTAGATATATCAATAATGAGGATAAATATAATGCCAAATATTCAGTATTTGTACAGAAATATACATATATAAATATATAATATATGCCTAATTTAAATGGAACTATTTTCCACTCTTGACCATATTTTTGTTGTTTAATGTTTCTTTGTCAACATTATTTTATAAGCTCTTCAGATAGCATGCAGGATAGTGAAAATGAATGTATTATTTAGTGTTTCATTGCTGGTCAGTATTACAGCATTCTACAGATCAGTTTGTGTTTGTAGGATTAATTTAAGCTGAATATTTCATTTCTAGACTTTTGTTTATCTATAAATGACTTGTAAACTTTCTTTTATAAATGCAAGGTTTCGAAACAGTTTCAACAGTTTATATCATTTTATTATTTCCCTGCTTATCAATGTGGTTCAGTATACTTTGCCTCTTCTAAGTACTGCTATCAACCATCTGTTGTAAATAATTATGCAAATTAAACTTTTTGAAGAAAACAGCATAGTTGTAAGAGTGCTTTGAGATCTCTCTATGTGTATCAGATGGAGAGGGTGCAGTTGTAGCACAGGTATGTGGCATTTTAGCTCAAAAATCCCACATGGGGTTGTTTATGAAGCAATACAATACAGTTTGCTGGCTAAATATCATGGAAATACGCATCATGCTCCCAGCTTAGTCACACCTTTTTGGGTATTGGAAGTTTTGAGCAGTACAGCACCTGCCTGTTCCTGTGCTGCCCAAGCAGTTCCACCTTTAGCTTAAATCATAAAACTTTTTTATCTAAGAAGTATAATGAAAGAGAAGGAACAAAGCACTAAGTAATGTGGGTGGTGGATGTTGAAAAGTAAACATAAAGAATGTTTTTATACTAAATCCTCCTATGGTGCTCCAAGTTGACTTAATTTTGACATATTTTGTCTTTTGTTCATCCAGTGAAAAGTGATTTAAGCTCAAGTCATGAGTAAGTGGCTAAAAAAAAAGAAGCAAAGTTTAATGTGCCAAAAACTGCAGTTCCTCTACTGACCATTTGCTGCTGGCTCTAAGAGCACGTCAATTCCTATAGACTCCACACTATTTCTTTTTAGTACATGACAATGCTACTACATTTTTTGTAGATATAAACTACAGCTTACTATCAAAATAAATGATATAAAATTAAAGTGATAAGACCATAAATGCCACAAGTGAGTAATTTTAGCCCACTGGTAAGTGGCTGCTGTGAGCAACATGACAACATCATAATACCTTGTATAGCTATGAGGCTTCAGGAGCTCAAGCTCATCAATGATTAGTGTGCCGTCTCTGCTGGGGTACAGCATAAAATTTTAATCACTTGGAAAACAAACAAACAAAAGAACAAGAACTGGGTGCACAAACGAGTGGCAACTTGCTAAGAGACTTTGAACCAAATAACAGTGTGCTTATGTGCCGAGTTTGATCACGTAGCAAGAGTTTACGGACAGACAGACAACAGTTTTGTGTATTATGATAAGTTAACTCCATCCATTTGAGTTGACCATGTTGACCAACCTCCCAACAAGAAACTGGACCTCTTGACATTATTGTGGAACAAATAATACGGCCTGCTTTGTGGTCCAAGACGTTTGTGTGTCAGTTTTGATGAACAAAATTAAGTTATTTTATTAATCTTTCATAATTTTATTAGTCTGTTTCTTAGCACTAATTAGCGGGTATGTGTATGTTCAATTTTCTGCATACAATTTATGCATGCAGCCTTCTAACAAAGCCCACTAACCACTCTGGTGGTAGCCAAAGTGTGAATATTGAGGCTTCAAAAGCTGAAGTACAACAGGTGATGTCACAGTAGCCAAGTTTCTGTTTTATATTCAGGAAGAGTGTAGTCATCAAACAGGGCTGATCAAAATGGAAGGTGTGCAGGGGGACTATAAGCACTTAGGTACCTTACAGGTAATAAATGAAATGTCTACAGGTTGGTCTGAATGTATCAGAAGCTGATAATGGTTGAATAAATACAACAACTCTCCAAACACGTCACTTTTAATTAAAGAAGTGGTCTTTATTACAGCAAATAAGCCAAACATTACAGACAAGAATAATTATGAACCATGAATATCAACTCTATAGTCAGACTGGCCTCTCATCCAGACACCAGCTTCAGGGCCATTATTTCAGATTTAAAGAGGAGTCATTGGCCTCTTAAGAAGATCTGTTTCTTAGTTTTCCTTTAAGTGTGTAGTTAAGAGGCTTTACATATTGTGTTCACTTTCTGCTCTCACTGATTTATGCATGTAGCAAAATCCATTGTCGCTAAACATAAAATATGACTGGATTACTATTACACCATGCTCTTCTCTCTCCCTTCTTTGGATCAGACCAAAAATCAGAAGTAACAAAACTGAAGGCTGATGTTCCACCAACAGAATAATGTTCTGTATTCAGTGAAATCTTATATCTATATCTTTATCTTTTTAAAACACCATCTGTCAATACTTGAATTTGAATCCTCCAAAACAAGAGTACAATCTGTATCTTTTTTATCTACACCAGAACAAATGTTCTGACATTGCATCCATTATCTAAATCTCTACTGTTCACCCAACAATAGAGCCTTTTAGAGCACTCTATTTACAATAACATCCTCATGAGTAGGGCTGCTCTTGCTCCATCAAAGTGGAACATCTGACATGTTATTTACAATAAAGTTCTTTTTTTCTGACTCAGTTTGTTCACAAACAGAAATACATCTGATATTCTGTAAGCTTGTAAAGCCTCACAAAGAAGCATTCTGATGAGTAAAAACACAATGACTCATGGTCCAAAAGGTATTCAGGACACTGTTCGTTCATGAGAACGCATTCAACAAAGCCCTGGGTGCGATCTAAGATGCTGTAAAAATGCTTGTAGCGACAAGAAAATTCAAATGATTAGGCACAATAAATTTTTTTGTATCACAGTCCTGCGTGTTTCACTCACTAAGCCCGTTTATGCATCACTGAGTCAGTGTGTATCCCGGGATAATGGTGAGCAGGATACGAGGATGAAGATAAACAGCTTATCCCGACTAAGACGTTAAGAGGGATAGGCGCTATTATCCAAAATACTCTTTGCATATAAATGCACTGAATTTCTACTGACCACAGACAGCGCAATGAGCTCATACACAAATAAACCACAGTAACATCACAGAGATTCAAGAAGTGAAAACAAAGACAATACTATTGAATTCCACCTAAATACTGAAAAACTACTTCTAAAGCTTTAATATACAGCTTCAATCAGGGGTTCTTAAACTCTTCTTCATGGACCCAAATTGGGCAGATGTAATCTGTTACCTTGGGACCCATTACGGGCCTCGATAAATCACACTAATACTCTCAAGACTCCAGAGGAAACAGACTTGCAGCCCATTTTGCGTCCCCGTGTGCGGTTTAAGAAACGCTGGTGGGCGAACATGGAATGGAAAATGATTGTTCTTACAAGCAATGCAAGTAAACAAACAATAAATACAAACAATGTGCTTTATCCGTATAGACATATTTACACAAAGTCTTTGGCTTATGAAGAAACATCAGCTACAAAATAATAATATTACAACAAAGAGAAGAGTGTTGGCCACCAGTGCACAAAACAAATGAAGCCTGGGGTCAGGTCACTTCCAATTCTGTTCAAGCCATACTGTCAATGGAAACTGTCAGTTAATCTTACCATCAAAGAATGTGTGATTTCAGTCTTTTCTATGGGCAAATAGGCAGATTTTTTGCCATGTCCAAAATCTCTTTATAATTGCAGTTTGTTTGTTTGTTTTTCCATTTATGTACAGGCTGAATTGAAAGTGCATTGGGCCCAGCCCTGAAAAGAACATGATTCCGCTAATGTCACAGTCTAATGTACAATGCAGACTGCAAAAGTCTAACCAGTAGGTAGGTACATGATACTACAAAAGAAAAGTGATACATAACACACGTTTTAAAACAAAAAGCATAACATAATGTTTGTCAAGTTGCAGCTAAATGAATATTATTTAAAAAAATCTAAAAGTCTAATAATCCCGATGTAAACTTCCTGGTTTTCTTTTGTTTTTACTTTATTTAATAAGGACGAAAATAATAAACTGCGTGTAACCAATGTTAATAGGTTCATACTTGTTCATAACAATGTACTGACTCAATTTTCGCTAAAGTCATTTGAAAGGTGTGCGGAGCAGAAACAGAACCATTCACAGAGTTTCTCCGGACGTTAACTTTCAGTTGTTCACTTGCTCTCATACAAAAGTGTTGGCTGTATATACTACAAATATCACCATGATGAGACGCCCAATACAGTTAAATTAGTCAGAAATTAGCACGAGAGCAGGAATGTCGGGCCACTGAAAACTTTAACTTGCAGTTTATCAAAAGCTGCTTGCAAGGGAGCGAGCAAGCGAGAGAGAGAGAGACATCTACAGTAGATAGGAAGTACTGCAGCTGAAACAGCACAAAGCATCAAGTCCATGGGAGGTGGCTGTGGTGAGAGGCTAAATGTTTTAAATGGGGCCCAAAGCATACAGGGGCCCGCTGGCACTCAAAAAGCTGTACAATAAGCAGAAAGGAGTGAAAGGAGTAACATCTCCTCCTCCCCATCGCATTTCCTGTTAAAAGTCTAAGCATTTCCCTTTGTTTAACAACCTGTACAAGGAGCCCGTTTCGCTTGCGCCTTTTGTAGAGATGCAAGATGGATGCTACACAACGGCCGCCACAAAGATCGAGACCAAGCAAAGCAAAGGATCAAACACACAAGATGTGAACAGATGTTCTCCGACTCTTCTTCTCCTCATTCTGCTCTTCTGTCCTTCACTTAGGACGACTCAATGAACTCCAATGCCAGGTCGTAGCAGAACCGATACTGTTCCTGCAAACAGACACATACACACACATACACCCTTAACTAAACATATGCACTATCACACATTCACTGTTTGACTAAAGTTTGTATTATTATGTGTATAATAGTAATAACAACATAATGCATTCATGAGCTCTTTCTCACTTTGCAGAAAGTGTTTATGGTTAACTCACCGGAGTATCCACCATGTTAGGTTTGCTATTCCTCAAGGTCTTTACAGCGTGGAAAACATCAACCACACTCTGTCTCTTTGCCATCTCGCACACGATACTGCTGGCACAGAACACTCCACTACGCCCACCTCCATTTCTACAAACAAACATAACAGAATACACGATGATACGTCGCAAAAAGCACAATTTAATATTTCATTTGGGGTTTTTCCAACTCTTGTGCAGGGCTGATGCTTTGAATTTCAATGGTAAAAGAAGAGAAACTCTTTGATTTGTGTGCACTCACAGGCAGTGCACAATGGTTCTTCCCTCTCCCTCCTCCCCTTCACGCTGCCACTGGTCAACCTGAAGGATCAGTTTGAGGAAAGAGCGTTTGGACGCGGGGACTTCTCTGTGCCCCGACCATCCCAGGTACTGGAAATGACGAACCATCAAATAGCCTTCCTGAGGCTGGAATAAGAGACAGAATCAGAAAAACTGATTAAGCCATGTCAAAAACTGCAGATCCTCAAATGGCCGCTTGAGGCTAGCGCCAAAAACGAGTCAATCCTCATAGGCACCAATGTTGAAATGTCAGGCCAAACTATTAGAGGAGTTTTAAAACCTTTGGCTCAGTGTCAGACCCACAGGTGATATCACATGGTCACATCCATCTTTTACACTGTAAATAGGTATATATTTTTCCAGTTAATTTTCCCAGTATGTATTTTTTCAGGTAATTGGTTATATGAATTTTAATGACTATAGTGCGTTTTAACATGCTGTATTTTTGTATGGCTATTTAAAACAAGTCGCCTTGAAAATGACACCTTGTATGAGATTGATTCAATGAGATTTACCTGTATAAATAAAGGTGAAATAAAACAATAAATAAATAATAATAGAAACGTAGTATGATTCTGACTGCCCACCCTGGTGAGGTTGCAGACTCTGAAGAGCCGGCTGATAACATCACATTCCATTGAGCAGGACATACATTCCACCTGGACGGGACCGTAACGCAGCATGCCCTCCTCTGGCCAGTACTGAGGACAACCCTGAGAGAGAACAATTACACCATTTAGAAAAACACTGGAACAATTTCAGAAAAAATAGAGACAAATGCAAAAAAACCAAAAAAAAAAAAATCCCTGACAATTTTTTGTCCAGACAAAAAATTCTTAAAATGAAATGTGCTTACAAATTTTGGTTAAGACTGTTGGATGTGTGCAGGATTGTTTTCTTCCATCTTTCCTTTACAAGTTTATTAGCTCTAAATAAGCTAATCTTATATAATAAATCCATGATTACTCTAAAAAAGACACAATGCTATGCTAAGAAACACAGCAGAACTTTATGTAAAATACCTGAGCCAGGTCAATCTCATTTAGCATCACCAGACTGGTACATCCATAGTCGTAAACTAGGCGCCAAAAGTCTTTGACAGTGTTGGGCAAAGGATGCTGGGTAACGATGAATGCAGCAGGCTGTCTGTAGCTCTAAAGAGAAGGAGAGAGACAACAAAAGCGATCACCGACAAAGAAGACACTCTTAATGATTCAATCAAGCATTATTAAACTGTACGTTATTGTTTTTTATTTTTTAATTTTGACTGTCCCACAGTACGTTTCTTTCTCACGTGTGCACATTAAAACACAAACAGCAGAGTAGAGCTGCACAGTATGTGAGACATGGGAAAGCAAGCATAGTTAAAAGGTGACTTTGGTTTGATGATCATGCAGTGGGTCTATTACCTGTGAGGGTTGGGAACATGCACAAGACTACACATAGAGCAAAAACTACATTTGATGGGGTCAGTTAACTTTTTTTTCAGTTAGCTCAGGAAGACAAACTTCTTCAAAGTTCACATAAAAAAAGAATCAAGAACTAACTGGTCTGAATGTGAACTGAACCCACTTTGGCTTAAATGAAAATGTACAGCCAAATGTGTGACGCAGGTGTGACTGCTTGGCGACAGAGAATCTAATGTGAGGGCCGGGCACAGGTTTAGGATTTAGGGTGTGGATGTCGTTCACAAAAATGAATCTGGTGGCAGAACAACACTGAAGCCATGAAACAAATCCAGTATTGGAGACTTGAAGTAAAATCCCATTACCTGGAACTCTTCTGACAGCTTGGTTAGAGAGAGGCCAGAGGTGAGTAACTAAACTTTAAGGTAAACGCCTAAAACTTGACTGAACTCTAGAAATTTTACAGTATTTTGTCCAACAGCTTTGTTGGAGAGAAGCCAGGTTTGTTCCCACAACATGCAAATGTTCACACATTATCAGGAAATTACTCACATACCTACAGCCCACCTCTTACTATCTTTTTCTCACTATATCTTTACTCACATACCTGATAATAACCTTCTAAGGACCTTACCTTAAAACCTTACCTCAAAATTTCTACCTACTCAATGACTTTCTTTTCAAGTCACGGTAAATGGGCAACGCGTTGAGGCAATGTCAACAGTTGCAAACATAAACAACGTTTGAATGGTGGCCAGAGAAAAGCTAGTCGTCTTTTTAGAGGCTGGATTTGTCTCTAGCCTTCTGCTGCTAAAACCACAAACACAGCATCACACAAAGAAGGAAGGGAGTCTGTGTGTGTGTGTGTGTGTGTGTGTGTGTGTGTGTGTGTGTGTGTGTGTGTGTGTGTGTG